CTGGACCAGGCAAGCTCTTGGACCAAGCACGCTCGTGGACCAGGCACACTCCTGGACCAGGCAAGCTCTTGGACCAGGCAGGCTCGTGGACGAGGCAAGCTCCTGGACTAGGCAAGCTCCTGGACCAGGCATGCTCCTGGACCAGGCAAGCTCTTGGACCAGGCACACTCGTGGAGCAGGCACGCTCGTTGAGCAGGCAAGCTCCTGGACCAGGCAAGCTCCTGGAACACGCACGCTTGTGGACCAGGCACGCTCCTAGACCAGGCAAGATCCTAGACCAGGCAAGCTCATGGACCACGCAAGCTCGTGGACGCTCCTGGACCAGTCACGCTCCTGGACCAGGCAAGCTCCTAAACCAGGCCAGGTCCTGGACCAGGCAAACTCCTGGACCAGGCAAGCTCGTGGACCAGGCACACTCCTGGACCAGGCAAGCTCATGGACCAAGCAAGCTCCTGGACCAGGCAGGCTTGTGGACCAGGCAAGTTCCTGGACGAGGCAAGGTCCTGGACCAGGCAAGGTCCTGGACCAGGCAAGCTCTTGGACCAGGCAAGCTCCTGGACCACGCAAGCTCTTGGACCAGGCACGCTCCTGGATCAGGCAAGCTCTTGGACCAGGCAGGCTTGTGGACCAGGCACGCTTGTGGACCAGGCACGCTCTTGGACCAGGCAAGCTCCTAGACCAGGCAAGCTCCAGGACCACGCAAGCTCTTGGACCAGGCACACTCCTGGACCAGGCAAGCTCTTGGACCAGGCAGGCTTCTGGACCAAGCAAGCTCTTGGACGAGGCAAGCTCCTGGACCAGGCAAGCTCCTGGACCAGGCAAGCTCCTGGACCAGGCAAGCTCTTGGACCAAGCACGCTCGTGGACCAGGCACACTCCTGGACCAGGCAAGCTCTTGGACCAGGCAGGCTCGTGGACGAGGCAAGCTCCTTGACTAGGCAAGCTCCTGGACCAGGCATGCTCCTGGACCAGGCAAGCTCTTGGACCAGGCACACTCGTGGAGTAGGCACGCTCGTGGAGCAGGCAAGCTCCTGGACCAGGCAAGCTCCTGGACCACGCACGCTTGTGGACCAGGCACGCTCCTGGAGCAGGCAAGCTCCTGGACCAAGCAAGCTCCTGGACCTGGCAAGCTCGTGGACCGGGCAAGCTCGTGGACCAGGCAAGCTCCTGGACCAGGCAAGCTCCTAGACCAGGCAAGCTCCTGGACCAGGCACGCTCCTGGACCAGGCAAGCTCCTAGACCAGGCAAGCTCCTAGACCACGCAAGCTCTTGGACCAGGCACGCTCCTGGACCGGGCAAGCTCTTGGACCACGTAGGCTTCTGGACCAGGCAAGCTCCTGGACCGAGCAAGCTCCTGGACAAGGCAAGCTCCTGGACCAGGCAAACTCGTGGACCAGGCACGCTCCTAGACCAGGCAAGATCCTAGACCAGGCAAGCTCATGGACCACGCAAGCTCGTGGACCAGGAACGCTCCTGGACCAGGCACGCTCCTGGAGCAGGCAAGCTCCTAGACCAGGCCAGGTCCTAGACCAGGCAAACTCCTGGACCAGGCAAGTTCGTGGACCAGGCACGCTCCTGGACCAGGCAAGCTCATGGACCAGGCAAGCTCCTAAACCACGCAAGCTCTTGGACCAGGCAACCTCGTGGACCAGGCAAGCTTGTGGACCAAGCAAGCTCCTGGACCAGGCAGGCTTGTGGACCAGGCAAGTTCCTGGACCAGGCAAGGTCCTGGACCAGGCAAGGTCCTGGACCAGGCAAGCTCTTGGACCAGGCAAGCTCCTGGACCACGCAACCTCTTGGACCAGGCACGCTCCTGGACCAGGCAAGCTCTTGGACCAGGCAGGCTTGTGGACCAGGCAAGCTCCTGGACCAGGCAAGCTCCTGGACCAGGCAAGCTCCTGGAATAGGCAAGCTTCTGGACCAAGCAAGCTCCTGGACCACGCGAGCTCCTGGACCAGGCACGCTCGTGGACCAGGCACGCTGCTGGACCAGGCAAGCTCTTGGACCAGGCAGGCTCGTGGACCAGGCACGCTCCTAGACGAGGCAAGCTCCTGGACCAGGCAAGGTCCTGGACCAGGCACGCTCGTGGACCACGCACGCTCTTGGACCAGGCAAGCTCCTAGACCAGGCAAGCTCCAGGACCATGCAAGCTCTTGGACCAGGCTTGCTCCTGGACTAGGCAAGCTCTTGGACCAGGCAGGCTTCTGGACCAAGCAAGCTATTAGACCAGGCAAGCTCCTGGACCAGGCAAGCTCCTAGACCAGGCAAGCTCGTGGATCAGGCAAGCTCCTGGACTAGGCAAGCTCCTGGACCAGGCAAGCTTCTGGACCAGGCAAGCTCTTGGACCAAGCACGCTCGTGGACCAGGCACACTCCTGGACCAGGCAAGCTCTTGGACCAGGCAGGCTCGTGGACGAGGCAAGCTCTTGGACTAGTCAAGCTCCTGGACCAGGCATGCTCCTGGACCAGGCAAGCTCTTGGACGACGCACACTCGTGGAGTAGGCACGCTCGTGGAGCAGGCAAGCTCCTGGACCAGGCAAGCTCCTGGACCATGCACGCTTGTGGACCAGGCACGCTCCTGGAGCAGGCAAGCTCCTGGACCAGGCAAGCTCCTGGACCTGGCAAGCTCGTGGACCGGGCAAGCTCGTGGACCAGGCAAGCTCCTGGACCAGGCAAGCTCCTAGACCACGCAAGCTCCTCGACCAGACACGCTCATGGACCAGGCAAGCTCCTGGACCAGGCAAGCTCCTAGACCACGCAAGCTCTTGGACCAGGCACGCTCCTGGACCAGGCAAGCTCTTGGACCACGTAGGCTTCTGGACCAGGCAAGCTCCTGGACCGAGCAAGCTCCTGGACAAGGCAAGCTCCTGGACCAGGCAAACTCGTGGACCAGGCACGCTCCTAGACCAGGCAAGCTCATGGACCACGCAAGCTCGTGGACCAGGAACGCTCCTGGACCAGGCACGCTCCTGGACCAGGCAAGCTCCTAGACCAGGCCAGGTCCTAGACCAGGCAAACTCCTGGACCAGGCAAGTTCGTGGACCAGGCACGCTCCTGGACCAGGCAAGCTCATGGACCAGGCAAGCTCCTAAACCACGCAAGCTCTTGGACCAGGCAACCTCGTGGACCAGGCAAGCTTGTGGACCAAGCAAGCTCCTAGACCAGGCAGGCTTGTGGACCAGGCAAGTTCCTGGACCAGGCAAGGTCCTGGACCAGGCAAGGTCCTGGACCAGGCAAGCTCTTGGACCAGGCAAGCTCCTGGACCACGCAAGCTCTTGGACAAGGCACGCTCCTGGACCAGGCAAGCTCTTGGACCAGGCAGGCTTGTGGACCAGGCAAGCTCCTGGACCAGGCAAGCTCTTGGACCAGGCAAGCTCCTGGAATAGGCAAGCTTCTGGACCAAGCAAGCTCCTGGACCACGCAAGCTCCTGGACCAGGCACGCTCGTGGACAAGGCACGCTGCTGGACCAGGCAAGCTCTTGGACCAGGCAGGCTCGTGGACCAGGCACGCTCCTAGACGAAGCAAGCTCCTGGACCAGGCAAGCTCCTGGACCAGGCACGCTCGTGGACCAGGCACGCTCTTGGACCAGGCAAGCTCCTAGACCAGGCAAGCTCCAGGACCATGCAAGCTCTTGGACCAGGCTTGCTCCTGGACTAGGCAAGCTCTTGGACCAGGCAGGCTTCTGGACCAAGCAAGCTATTAGACCAGGCAAGCTCCTGGACCAGGCAAGCTCGTGGACCAGGCAAGCTCCTGGACTAGGCAAGCTCCTGGACCAGGCAAGCTCGTGGACCAGGCAAGCTCTTGAACCAGGCACGCTTGTGGACCAGGCACGCTCTTGGACTAGGCAAGCTCTTGGACCAGGCACGCTCGTGGACTAGGCAAGCTCTTGGACCAGGCAAGCTCCTGGATTGGGCAACCTCCTCGACCACGCAAGCTTATGGAGCAGCCACGCTCATGGACCAGGCACGCTCCTGGACCAGGCACGATCTTGGACCAGGCAAGCTCCTGGACCAGGCGAGATCCTGGACCACGCAAGCTCTTGAACCAGGCACGCTCCTGGACCAGGCAAGCTCTTGGACCAGGCACGCTTCTGGACCAAGCAAGCTCCTGGACCAGGCAAGCTCGTGGACGACGCAAGCTCTTGGACCAGGCACGCTCCTCGACCAGGCAAGCTCTTTGACCACGCAGGCTTCTAGACCAAGCAAGCTCCTGGACCACGCAAGTTCCTGGACCATGCACGCTCTTGGACGAGGCAAGCTCCTTGACCGGGCAAGCTCCTGGACCAGGCAAGCTCCTGGACCAGGTACGGTCGTGGACCAGGCACGCTCTTGGACCAGGCAAGCTCTTGGACCAGGAAGGCTCGTCGACGAGGCACGCTCCTGGACCAGGCAAGCTCCTGGACCAGGCAAGCTCCTGAACCATGCAAGCTCCTGGATCAGGCACGCTCCTAGACCAGGCAAGCTCCTAGACCAGGCAAGCTCCTGGACCAGGCAAGCTCGTGGACCAGGCAAACTCGTGGACCAAGCACGCTCCTGGACCAGGCAAGATCCTGGACCAGGCACGCTCCTAGACCAGGCAAGCTCGTGGATCAGGCAAGCTCCTGGACCAGGCAAGCTCTTGGATAAGGCAAGGTCATGGACCAGGCAAGCTCCTAGACCAAGCAAGTTCCTGGATCAGGCAAGCTCCTAGACCACGCAAGCTCCTGGACCAGGCACACTCGTGCACCAGGCACGCTCATGGACCAGGCAAGCTCCTAAACCAGGCAAGCTCCTGGACCAGGCAAGCTCCTGGACCAGGCAAGCTCCTGGACCATGCAAGCTCTTGCCTGGTCCAGGAACTTGCCTCATCCAGGAGCTTGCCTGGTCTAGGAGCTTGCCTGGTCCAGGAGCTTTCCTGGTCCAGGAGCTTGCCTGGTCCAGGAGCGTGTCTGGTCTAGGAGCTTGCCTGGTCCAAGAGCTTGCTTGGTCCAGAAGCGTGCCTAGTGCAAGAGCTTGCTTGGTCTAGAATGGGGAGGAGATTGGGGCGGGGTGATGGAAAGCGGAAGAATGGGGCGGGGTAATTGGATACGGGAGAATGGGGCGCGGTGATGGAAAGTGGGAGAATGGTGCGGGGTGATGGAAAGCGGCAGAATAGGGCGAAGTGATGGATAGCGGGAGAATGGGGCGGGGTGATGGAAAGCGGGAGAATGGGGCGGGGTGATGAAAGGAGGGAGAATGGGGCGGGGTGATGGAAGGAGAGAAAATTGGACGGGGTGATGGAAAGATGGAGAATGCGGCAGGGTGATGGAAGGAGGGAGAATGGGGCGCGATGATGGAAAGCGGGAGAATGGGGCGGGGTGATGGAAAGCGGGAGAATGGGGCTGAGTAATGGAAAACAGGAGAATTGGGCCGGGTTATGGAAAGTGGGAGAATTGAGCGGGGTGATGGAATGCAGAAGAATGGGGCGGGGTGATGGAAGGAGGGGAAATGGGGCAAGGTGATGGAAGGCGGGAGAATGGGGCAGGGTGATGGAAAGCGGGAGAATGGGGCGAGGTGATGGAAATCAAGAGATTGGGGGGGGGTGATGGAAAGTGGAAGAATGGGGCGGGGTGATGGAATGCACGAGAATGGGGTGGGGTGATCGAAAGCGGGAGAATGGTGCTGGGTGATGGAAAGCGGGAGAATGGGGCGGGGTGATGAAAGGAGGGAGAATGGGGTGGGGTGATGGAAGGAGGGAAAATGGGGCGGGGTGATGGAAAGTTGGAGAATGGGGCAGGGTGATGGAAGTAGGGAGAATTGGGCGGGATCATGGAAAGCGGGAGAATGGGGCGGGGTGATGGAAAGCGGGAGAACGGGGCTGAGTAGTTGAAAACGGGAGAATGGGGCGGGGTGATGGAAAGCGGGAGAATGGGGTGGGGTGATGGAAAGCGGGAGAATGGGGCGGTGTGATGGAAAGTGGGAAAATAGAGCAGGGTGATGGAAAGCGGGAGAATGAGGCAGGGTGATGGAAGGAGGGAGAATGGGTCGGGGTGATGGAAGGCGGGAAAATGGGGCGGGGTGGTGGAAAGCGGAAGATTGGAGCGGGGTGATGGAAAGTGGAAGAATGGGGCGGGGTGATGGAATGCAGGAGAATGGGGCGGGGTGATGGAAAGCGGGAGAATGGTGCGGGGTGATGGAAAGCGGGAGAATGGGGCGGGGTGATGGAAAGCGGGAAAATAGAGCGGGGTGATGGAAAGCGGGAGAATGGGGCAGGGTGATGGAAGGAGGGAGAATGGGTCGGGGTGATGGAAGGCGGGAGAATGGGGCGGGGTGATGGGAAGCGGGAGATAGGGGCGGGGTGATGGAAAGTGGAAGAATGGGGCGGGGTGATGGAATGCACGAGAATGGGGCGGGGTGATGGAAAGCGGGAGAATGGTGAAGGGTGATGGAAAGCGGGAGAACGGGGCGGGGTGATGGAAGGAGGGAGAATGGGGCGGGGTGATGGAAGGAGGGAGAATGAGGCGGGGTGATGGAAAACTGGAGAATGGGGAGGGGTAATGGAATGTGGGAGAATGGGGTGGGTTGATAGAAAGCGGGACAATGGGGCAGGGGGATGGAGAGCGGGAGAATGGGGCGGGGTGATGGAAAGCGGTAGAATGGGGCCGGGAGATGGAAAGCGGGAGATTGGGGCGGGGTGATGGAAAGCGGAAGAATGTGGGGGGTAATGGGATACGGGAGAATGGGGCGCGGTGATGGAAAGCGGGAGAATGGTGCGGGGTGATGGAAAGCGGCAGAATAGGGCTGGGTGATGGATAGCGGGAGAATGGGGCGGGGTGATGGAAAGCGGGAGAATGGGGCAGGGTTATGAAAGGAGGGAAAATGGGGCGGGTTGATGGAAAGATGGAGAATGGGGCAGGGTGATGGAAGGAGGGAGAATGGGGCGGGGTGATGGAAAGCGGGAGAATGGGGCGGGGTGATGGAAAGCGGGAGAATGGGGCTGAGTGATGGAAAACAGGAGAATGGGGCGGGGTGATGGAAAGCGGGAGAATGGGGCGGGGTGATGGAAAGCGGGAGAATGGGGTGGGGGTGTTGGAAAGTGGGAGAATTGGGCGGGGTGATGGTAAGCGGGAGAATGGAGCAGGGGATGGAATGCGGAAGAATGGGGTGGGGTGATGGAATGAGGGAGAATGGGGCAGGGTGATGGAAGGCGGGAGATTGGGGCAGGGTGATGGAAAGCGGGAGAATGGGGCGGGGTGATGGAAAGCGGGAGAATGGGGCGGGGTGATGGAAAGTGGGAAAATAGAGCGGGGTGATGGAAAGCGGGAGAATGGGGCGGGGTGATGGAAGGAGGGAGAATGGGTCGGGGTGATGGAAGGAGGGAGAATGGGTCGGGGTGATGGAAGGCGGGAGATTGGGGCGGGGTGATGGAAAGCGGGAGATTGGGGCGGGGTGATGGAAACCAGGAGAATGGTGCGGGCTGATGGAAAGCGGGAGAATGGGGCGGGGTGATGGAAGGAGGGAGAATGGGGCCGGGTGATGGAAAGCGGGAGAATGGGGCGGGGTGATGGAAAGCGGGAGAATGGGGCTGAGTGATGGAAAACAGGAGAATGGGGCGTGGTGATAGAAAGCGGGAGAATGGGGCAGGGTGATGAAAAGCAGGAGAATGGGGCAGGGTGATGGAAGGAGGGAGAATGGGGCGGGGTGATGGAAAGCAGGAGAATGGGGCGGGGTGATGGAAAGCGGGAGAATGGGGCGGGGTGATGGACAGCAGGAGAATGGGGCGGGGTGATGGAAAGCGAGAGAATGGGGCGGGGTGATGGAACGAGGGAGAATGGGGTGGGGTGATGGAAGGAGGGAGAATGGGGCGTGGTGATGGAAGGAGGGAGAATGGGCCGGGGTGATGGAATGCGGGAGAATGGGGCAGGGTGATGGAAAGTGGGAGAATGGGGCGAGGTGATGGAAAGCGGGAGAATGGAGCGGGGTGATGGAAAGCGGGAGAATCGGGCAGGGTGATGGAAGGAGGGAGAATGGGGGGGGGTGATGGAAGGCGGGAGAATGGGGCGGGGTGATGGAAGGCGGGAGAATGGGGTTAGGTGATGGAAAGCGGGAGAATGGGGCGGGGTGATGGAAAGCGGGGGAATGGGGCAGGGTGATGGAAGGAGGGAGAATGGGGCGCGGTGATGGAAAGCGGGAGAGTGGGGCGTGGTGATGGAAAATAGGAGAATGGGGCGGGGTGATAGACAGCAGGAGAATGGGGCGGGGTGATGGAAAGCAAGAGAATCGGGCGGGGTGATGGAAGGAGGGAGAATAGGGTGGGGTGATGGAAGGAGGGAGAATGGGGCGTGGTGATGGAAGGAGGGAGAATGGGCTGGGGTGATGGTATGCGGGAGAATCGGGTAGGGTGATGGAAAGCGGGAGAATGGGGCGGGGTGATGGAAAGCGGGAGAATCGGGCGGGGTGATGGAAGGAGGGAGAATGGGGCGGGGTGATGGAAGGCGGGAGAATGGGGCGGGGTGATGGAAGGCGGGAGAATTGGGTTAGGTGATTGAAAGCGGGAGAATGGGGCGGGGTGATGGAAAGCGGGAGAATGGGGCGGGGTGATGGAAAGCGGAAGAATGGGGCGGGGTGATGGAAAGCGGGAGAATGGTGCAGGGTGATGGAAGGCGGGAGAATGGGGCGGGGTGATGAAAAGCGGGAGACTGGGGCAGGGTGATGGACAGCGAGAGAATGGGGCGAGGTGATGGAAAGCGGGAGAATGAGGCGGGGTGATGGAATGCGGGAGAATTGGGCGGGGTGTTGGAAAGCGGGAGAATGGTGCATGGTGATGAAAAGCGGGAGACTGGGGCGGGGTGATGGAAAGCGGGAGAATGAGGCGGGGTGATGGAAAGCGGGAGAATGGTGCAGGGTGATGAAAAGCGTGAGAATGGGGCGGGGTGATGGAATGCGGGAGAATGGGGCGAGGTGATGAAAAACGGGAGAATGGGGCGGGGTGATGGAAAGCGGGAGAACGGGGCGGGGTGAGGGAAGGAGGGAGAATGGGGCGAGGTGATGGAAGGAGGGAGAATGGGGCGGGGTGATGGAAAGCGGGAGAATGGAGCGGGGTGATGGAAAGCGGGAGAATGGAGCGGGGTGATGGAAAGCGGGAGAATGGAGCAGGGTGATGGAAGGAGGGAGAATGGGGCGGGGTGATGGAAAGCGGGAGAATGGGGCAGGTGATGGAAAGCGGGAGAATGGGGCGGGGTGATGGAAAGCAGGAGAATGGGGCGGGGTGATGGAATGCGAGAGAATGGGGCGGGGTGATGGAAGGAGGGAGAATGGGGTGGGGTGATGGATTGAGGGAGAATGGGGCGCGGTGATGGAAGGAGGGAGAATGGGGCGAGGTGATAAAATGCAGGAGAATGGGGCGGGGTGATGCAAAGCGGGAGAATGGAGCGGGGTGATGGAAAGCGGGAGAATCGGGCGGGGTGATGGAAGGAGGGAGAATGGGGCGGGGTGATGGAAGGCGGGAGAATGGGGCGGGGTGATGGAAGGCGGGAGAATTGGGTTAGGTGATTGAAAGCGGGAGAATGGGGCGGGGTGATGGAAAGCGGGAGAATGGGGCGGGGTGATGGAAAGCGGAAGAATGGGGCGGGGTGATGGAAAGTGGGAGAATGGTGCAGGGTGATGGAAGGCGGGAGAATGGGGCGGGGTGATGAAAAGCGGGAGACTGGGGCAGGGTGATGGACAGCGAGAGAATGGGGCGAGGTGATGGAAAGCGGGAGAATGAGGCGGGGTGATGGAATGCGGGAGAATTGGGCGGGGTGTTGGAAAGCGGGAGAATGGTGCATGGTGATGAAAAGCGGGAGACTGGGGCGGGGTGATGGAAAGCGGGAGAATGAGGCGGGGTGATGGAAAGCGGGAGAATGGAGCAGGGTGATGAAAAGCGTGAGAATGGGGCGGGGTGATGGAATGCGGGAGAATGGGGCGAGGTGATGAAAAACGGGAGAATGGGGCGGGGTGATGGAAAGCGGGAGAACGGGGCGGGGTGAGGGAAGGAGGGAGAATGGGGCGAGGTGATGGAAGGAGGGAGAATGGGGCGGGGTGATGGAAAGCGGGAGAATGGAGCGGGGTGATGGAAAGCGGGAGAATGGAGCGGGGTGATGGAAAGCGGGAGAATGGAGCAGGGTGATGGAAGGAGGGAGAATGGGGCGGGGTGATGGAAAGCGGGAGAATGGGGCAGGTGATGGAAAGCGGGAGAATGGGGCGGGGTGATGGAAAGCAGGAGAATGGGGCGGGGTGATGGAATGTGAGAGAATGGGGCGGGGTGATGGAAGGAGGGAGAATGGGGTGGGGTGATGGATTGAGGGAGAATGAGGCGCGGTGATGGAAGGAGGGAGAATGGGGCGAGGTGATAAAATGCAGGAGAATGGGGCGGGGTGATGCAAAGCGGGAGAATGGAGCGGGGTGATGGAAAGCGGGAGAATCGGGCGGGGTGATGGAAGGAGGGAGAATGGGGTGGGGTGATGGAAGGAGGGAGAATGGGGTGGGGTGATGGAAGGAGGGAGAATGGGGCGCGGTGATGGAAGGAGGGAGAATGGGGCGGGGTGATGGAAAGCAAGAGAATGGGGCGGGGTGATGGAAAGCGGGAGAATGGAGCACGGTGATGGAAAGCGGGAGAATCGGGCGGGGTGATGGAAGGAGGGAGAATGGGGCGGGGTGATGGAAGGCGGGAGAATGGGGTGGGTTGATGGAAAGCGGGAGAATGGGGCGGGTTGATGGAAAGCGGGAGAATGGGGCGGGGTGATGGAAAGCGGGAGGATGGGGCGGGGTGATGGAAAGCGGAAGAATGGTGCGGGGTGATGGAAAGCGGAAGAATGGTGCAGGGTGATGGAAGGAGGGAGAATGGGGCGGGGTATGGAAATGTTATGTGATGCTATCATCTGCATTCACGTCTGTCTGCCTCCCATCATATGTTCGTGCGTTGCATGCGTGGTGTGAGCGTGTGCAAGAATTTCTGTTTGATGTGGTTTGGTTTTTCTGAGTGTGTGTGAATGTTATTTGGCTTGAGCAGATATCTGAAGTGACTCCTCTGCTCAAGAGCTTTCCGACGAACCAAGTATCCCTTCAATCGGAGCACGAACAAGAAAGTTACGAACGTTGGAGTTCGTATGCTTTTGATATTTGGTTGTGGTGACTATGGGAAGTTGTGGGGTTGGCTCAATATGGGGTACAGACTTTTGGGGGTTGGGAAATTCGTCAACATCACTGTAGATGCTGCCAAGTGGTTGGGAGGAGCCAAACCAGGTTGGCAAGTGTGGCCAAGTCGGACAAGGTGGATGGCATGGGTTGGAAAGTGACAAAAGTGAAAGTGGGGTTGCCTATGGAGAAGGGAATTCTGTGGCATGGGGTTTCCTTGGTTGGGGACTCTCTTGGGACCTTCCCTCTCGTCCTCCTCATCCCTCCCACCTGGTTTATTGCCACTCTAACTCTCTTGTGTAGTGATTGTGTAATTATGAGAACTTTTTGACAGAGTTAAGATTCCATGGCAGCATACCCCCTAGTGCGCCGAAATTGATAAATCAAGAAATACTTCACCTTTTCGTATGGTTTAACTTGCGAATTGTAGCCATGGAGTAAAGATACAAAAAATCCGAGTTTAGTGAAGTTTTGACCGTGAACGTTTTGTCGACGGCGTTTCTTGTGAAATCGACTTTTCTGTCCAGAATTCTAAGCCAACGATTTTGAGAATCTTAGGCACCTAATCTTCGTAGACTCCGTCCTTAGTCTCTAACAGGAAAGCGGGAGAACGGGCGGGGTGATGGAAAGCGGGAGAATGAGGCGGGTGATGGAAGGAGAATGGGGCGGGATGATGGAAAGCGGGAGAATGGGGTGGGGTGATAGAACGCAGGAGAATGGGGCGGGGTGATGGAAAGCGGGAGAATGGGGCGGGGTGATGGAAAGCGAGAGAATTGGGTGGGATGATGGAAAGCGGGAGAATGGGGTGGGGTGATAGAAAGCGGGAGAATGGGGCGGGGTGATGGAAAGCGGGAGAATGGGGCAAGGTGATGGAAAGAGGGAGAATAGGGCGAGGTGATGGAAGGAGGGAGAATGGGGCCGGGTGATGGAAGGAGGGAGAATGGGGCGGGGTGATGGAAAGCTGGAGAATGGGGCGGGGTGATGGAAGGAGGGAGAATAGGGCGGAGTGATGGAAAGCGGGAGAATGGGGCGGGGTGATGGAAGGAGAGAGAATAGGGCGGGGTTATGGAAGGAGGGAGAATGGAGCGGGGTGATGGAAAGCGGGAGAATGGGGCCGGGTGATGGAAAGCGGGAGAATGGGGCGGGGTTATGGCAAGCGGCGGAATGGGGCGGGGTGATGGAAAGCGGGAGAATGGGGCGGGTGATGGAAAGCGGGAGAATGGGGCGGGGTGATGGAAGTAGGGAGAATGGGGCGGGGTGATGAAAAGCAGGAGAATGGGGTGGGGTGATGGAAGGAGGGAGAATGGGGCGGGGTTATGGAAGGAGGGAGAATGGGGCGGGGTGATGGAAAGCGGGAGAATGGGGCGGGGTGATGGAAAGCGGGAGAATGGGGCGGGGTTATGGCAAGCGGCAGAATGGGGCGGGGTGATGGAAAGCGGAAGAATGGAGCAGGTGATGGAAAGCGGGAGAATGGGGCGAGGTGATGGAAAGCGGGAGAATGGGGCGGGAGGATGTATAGCCGGAGAATGGGGCGGGGTTATGGCAAGCGGCAGAATGGGGCGGGGTGATGGAAAGCGGGAGAATGGGGCGGGGTGATGGAAAGCGGAAGAATGGGGCGGGGTGATGGAAAGCGGGAGAATGGGACAAGGTGATGGAAAGCGGGAGAATAGGGCGAGGTGATGGAAGGAGGGAGAATGGGGCGGGGTGATGGAAGGAGGGAGAATGGGGCGGGGTGATGGAAAGCTGGAGAATGGGGCGGGGTGATGGAAGGAGGGAGAATAGGGCGGGGTGATGGAAAGCGGGAGAAGGGGGCGGGGTGATGGAAGGAGAGAGAATGGGGTGGGGTTATGGAAGGAGGGAGAATGGAGCGGGGTGATGGAAAGCGGGAGAATGGGGCCGGGTGATGGAAAGCGGGAGAATGGGGCAGGGTTATGGCAAGCGGCAGAATGGGGCGGGGTGATGGAAAGCGGGAGAATGGGGCGGGTGATGGAAAGCGGGAGAATGGGGCGGGGTGATGGAAAGCAGGAGAATTGGGCGGGGTGATGGAAGTAGGGAGAATGGGGCGGGGTGATGAAAAGCGGGAGAATGGGGTGGGGTGATGGAAGGAGGGAGAATGGGACAGGGTTATGGAAGGAGGGAGAATGGGGCGGGGGTATAGAATGCGGGAGAATGGGGCGAGGTGATGGAAAGCGGGAGAATGGGGCGGGGTTATGGCAAGCGGCAGAATGGGGCGGGGTGATGGAAAGCGGAAGAATGGAGCGGGTGATGGAAAGCGGGAGAATGGGGCGGGGTGATGGAAAGCAGAAAATGGGGCGGGATGATGTATAGCCGGAGAATGGGGCGGGGTTATGGCAAGCGGCAGAATGGGGCGGGGTGATGGAAAGCAGGAGAATGGGGCGGGGTGATGGAAAGCGGAAGAATGGGGCGGGGTGATGGAAAGCGGGAGAATGGGGTGGGGTGATGGGAGGAGGGAGAATGGGGCGGGGTGATAGAACGCGGGAGCATGGGGAGGGGTGATGGAAAGCGGGAGAATGGGGCGAGGTGATGGAAAGCGGGAGAATGGGGCAGGGTGATGGACAGCGGGAGGATGGGGCGGGTGATGGAAAGCGGGAGAATGGGGCGGGGTGATAGAAAGCGGGAGAATGGGGCGGGGTGATGGAAGGAGGGAGAATGGGGCGGGGTGATGGAAGAAGGGAGAATGGGGTGGAGTGATGGAAAGCGGGAGAATGGGGCGGGGTGATGGAAGGAGGGAGAATAGGGCGGGGTGATGGAAAGCGGGAGAATGGGGCGGGGTGTTGGAAAGCGGGAGAATGGGGCGGGGTGATGGAAAGCGGGTGAATGGGGTGGGGAGATGGAAGGAGGGAGAATGGGGCGGGGTTATGGAAGGAGGGAGAATGGGGCGGGGTGATGGAAAGCGGGAGAATGGGGCGGGGTGATGGAAAGCGGGAGAATGGGGCGGGGACATGGCAAGCGGCAGAGTGGGGCGGGGTGATGGAAAGCGGAAGAATGGAGCGGGTGATGGAAAGCGGAAGAATGGGGCGGGAGGATGTATAGCCGGAGAATGGGGCGGGGTTATGGCAAGCGGCAGAATGGGGCGGGGTGATGGAAAGCGGGAGAATGGGGCGGGGTGATGGAAAGCGGAAGAATGGGGCGGGGTGATGGAAAGCGGGAGAATGGGGCAAGGTGATGGAAAGCGGGAGAATAGGGCGAGGTGATGGAAGGAGGGAGAATGGGGCGGGGTGATGGAAGGAGGGAGAATGGGGCGGGGTGATGGAAAGCTGGAGAATGGGGCGGGGTGATGGAAGGAGGGAGAATAGGGCGGGGTGATGGAAAGCGGGAGAATGGGGCGGGGTGATGGAAGGAGAGAGAATGGGGCGGGGTTATGGAAGGAGGGAGAATGGAGCGGGGTGATGGAAAGCGGGAGAATGGGGCAGGGTTATGGCAAGCGGCAGAATGGGGCAGGGTGATGGAAAGCGGGAAAATGGGGCGGGAGGATGTATAGCCGGAGAATGGGGCGGGGTTATGGCAAGCCGCAGAATGGGGCGGGGTGATGGAAAGTGGGAGAATGGGGCGGGGTGATGGAAAGCGGAAGAATGGGGCGGGGTGATGGAAAGCGGGAGAATGGGGCAAGGTGATGGAAAGCGGGAGAATAGGGCGAGGTGATGGAAGGAGGGAGAATGGGGCGGGGTGATGGAAGGAGGGAGAATGGGGCGGGGTGATGGAAAGCTGGAGAATGGGGCGGGGTGATGGAAGGAGGGAGAATAGGGCGGGGTGATGGAAGGAGAGAGAATGGGGCGGGGTGATGGAAGGAGAGAGAATGGGGCGGGGTTATGGAAGGAGGGAGAATGGAGCGGGGTGATGGAAAGCGGGAGAATGGGGCGGGGTTATGGCAAGCGGCAGAATGGGGCGGGGTGATGGAAAGCGGGAGAATGGGGCGGGGTGATGGAAAGCGGGAGAATGGGGCGAGGTGATGGGAGGAGGGAGAATGGGGCGGGGTGATAGAACGCGGGAGAATGGGGCGGGGTGATGGAAAGCGGGAGAATGGGGCGAGGTGATGGAAAGCGGGAGAATGGGGCGGGGTGATGGACAGCGGGAGGATGGGGCGGGTGATGGAAAGCGGGAGAATGGGGCGGGGTGATAGAAAGAGGGAGAATGGGGCGGGGTGATGGAAGGAGGGAGAATGGGGCGGGGTGATGGAAGAAGGGAGAATGGGGTTGGGTGATGGAAAGCGGGAGAATGAGGCGGGGAGATGGAAAGCGGGAGAATGGGGCAGGGTGATGGAAAGCGGGAGAATGGGATGCGTTGATGGAAAGCGAGATTATGGGGCGGGGTGATGGAAAGCGGGAGAATGCGGAATGGTGATGGAAAGTGGGAGAATGGGGCGGGGTGATGGAAGGAGAATGGGGCGGGATGATGGAAAGCGGGAGAATGGGGTGGGGTGATAGAAAGCGGAGAATGGGGCGGGGTGATGGAAAGCGGGAGAATGGGGCGGGGTGATGGAAAGCGAGAGAATTGGGTGGGATCATGGAAAGCGGGAGAATTTGGTGGGGTGATAGAAAGCGGGAGAATGGGGCGGGGTGATGGAAAGCGGGAGAATGGGGCAAGGTGATGGAAAGCGGGAGAATAGGGCGAGGTGATGGAAGGAGGGAGAATGGGGCGGGGTGATGGAAGGAGGGAGAATGGGGCGGGGTGATGGAAAGCTGGAGAATGGGGCGGGGTGATGGAAGGAGGGAGAATAGGGCGGGGTGATGGAAAGCGGGAGAATGGGGCGGGGTGATGGAAGGAGAGAGAATGGGGCGGGGTTATGGAAGGAGGGAGAATGGAGCGGGGTGATGGAAAGCGGGAGAATGGGGCGGGGTTATGGCAAGCAGCAGAATGGGGCGGGGTGATGGAAAGTGGGAGAATGGGGCGGGTGATTGAAAGCGGGAGAATGGGCGGGGTGATGGAAAGCAGGAGAATTAGGCGGGGTGATGGAAGTAGGGAGAATGGGGCGGGGTGATGAAAAGCGGGAGAATGGGGTGGGGTGATGGAAGGAGGGAGAATGGGGCGGGGTTATGGAAGGAGGGAGAATGGGGCGGGGTGATGGAAAGCGGGAGAATGGGGCGGGGTGATGGAAAGCGGGAGAATGGGGCGGGGTGATGGAAAGCGGAAGAATGGAGCGGGTGATGGAAAGCGGGAGAATGGGGCGAGGTGATGGAAAGAGGGAGAATGGGGCGGGAGGATGTATAGACGGAGAATGGGGCGGGGTTATGGCAAGCGGCAGAATGGGGCGGGGTGATGGAAAGCGAAAGAATGGGGCGGGATAATGGAAAGCGGGAGAATGGGACAAGGTGATGGAAAGCGGGAGAATAGGGCGAGGTGATGGAAGGAGGGAGAATGGGGCGGGGTGATGGAAGGAGGGAGAATGGGGCGGGGTGATGGAAAGCTGGAGAATGGGGCGGGGTGATGGAAGGAGGGAGAATAGGGCGGGGTGATGGAAAGCGGGAGAATGGGGCGGGGTGATGGAAGGAGAGAGAATGGGGCGGGCATATGGAAGGAGGGAGAATGGAGCGGGGTGATGGAAAGCGGGAGAATGGGGCGGGGTGATGGAAAGCAGGAGAATTGGGCGGGGTGATGGAAGTAGGGAGAATGGGGCGGGGTGATGAAAAGCGGGAGAATGGGGTGGGGTGATGGAAGGAGGGAGAATGGGGCGGGGTTATGGAAGGAGGGAGAATGGGGCGGGGGTATGGAAAGCGGGAGAATGGGGCGAGGTGATGGAAAGCGGGAGAATGGGGCGGGGTTATGGCAAGCGGCAGAATGGGGCGGGGTGATGGAAAGCGGAAGAATGGAGTGGGTGATGGAAAGCGGGAGAATGGGGCGGGGTGATGGAAAGCGGGAGAATGGGGCGGGATGATGTATAGCCGGAGAATGGGGCGGGGTTATGGCAAGCGGCAGAATGGGGCGGGGTGATGGAAAGCAGGAGAATGGGGCGGGGTGATGGAAAGCGGAAGAATGGGGCGGGGTGATGGAAAGCGGGAGAATGGGGTGGGGTGATGGGAGGAGGGAGAATGGGGCGGGGTGATAGAACGCGGGAACATGGGGCGGGGTGATGGAAATTGGGAGAATGGGGCGAGGTGATGGAAAGCCGGAGAATGGGGCAGGGTGATGGACAGCGGGAGGATGGGGCGGGTGATGGAAAGCGGGAGAATGGGGCGGGATGATAGAAAGCGGGAGAATGGGGCGGGGTGATGGAAGGAGGGAGAATGGGGCGGGGTGATGGAAGAAGGGAGAATGGGGTGGAGTGATGGAAAGCGGGAGAATGGGGCGGGGTGATGGACAGCGGGAGGATGGGGCGGGTGATGGAAAGCGGGAGAATGGGGCGGGGTGATAGAAAGCGGGAGAATGGGGCGGGGTGATGGAAGGAGGGAGAATGGGGAGGGGTGATGGAAGAAGGGAGAATGGGGTGGAGTGATGGAAAGCGGGAGAATGGGGCGGGGTGATGGAAAGTGGAAGAATGGGGCGGGGTGATGAAAAGCGGGAGAATGGGGCGGGGTGTTGGAAAGCGGGAGAATGGGGTGGGGTGATGGAAAGCGGGTGAATGGGATGGGGAGATGGAAGGAGGGACAATGGGGCGGGGTTATGGAAGGAGGGAGAATGGGGCGGGGTGATGGAAAGCGGGAGAATGGGGCGGGGTGATGGAAAGCGGGAGAATGGGGCGGGGTCATGGCAAGCGGCAGAATGGGGCGGGGTGATGGAAAGCGGAAGAATGGAGCGGGTGATGGAAAGCGGGAGAATGGGGCGGGGTGATGGAAAGCGGGAGAATGGGGCGGGGTGATAGAACGCGGGAGAATGGGGCGGGGTGATGGAAAGCGGGAGAATGGGGCGAGGTGATGGAAAGCGGGAGAATGGGGCGGGGAGATGGAAAGCGGAAGAATGGGGTGGGGTGATGGAAAGCGGGAGAATGGGGCAAGGTGATGGAAAGCGGGAGAATAGGGCGAGGTGATGGAAGGAGGGAGAATGGGGCGTGGTGATGGAAGGAGGGAGAATGGGGCGCGGTGATGGAAAGCTGGAGAATGGGGCGGGGTGATGGAAGGAGGGAGAATAGGGCGGGGTGATGGAAAGCGGGAGAATGGGGCGGGGTGATGGAAGGAGAGAGAATGGGGCGGGGTTATGGAAGGAGGGAGAATGGAGCGGGGTGATGGAAAGCGGGAGAATGGGGCAGGGTTATAGCAAGCGGCAGAATGGTGCAGGGTGATGGAAAGCGGGAGAATGGGGCAGGAGGATGTATAGCCGGAGAATGGGGCGGGGTTATGGCAAGCGGCAGAATGGGGCAGGGTGATGGAAAGCGGGAGAATGGGGCGGGGTGATGGAAAGCGGAAGAATGGGGTGGGGTGATGGAAAGCGGGAGAATGGGGCAAGGTGATGGAAAGCGGGAGAATAGGGCGAGGTGATGGAAGGAGGGAGAATGGGGCGGGGTGATGGAAGGAGGGAGAATGGGGCGCGGTGATGGAAAGCTGGAGAATGGGGCGGGGTGATGGAAGGAGGGAGAATAGGGCGGGGTAATGGAAAGCGGGAGAATGGGGCGGGGTGATGGAAGGAGAGAGAATGGGGCGGGGTTATGGAAGGAGGGAGAATGGAGCGGGGTGATGGAAAGCGGGAGAATGGGGCAGGGTTATGGCAAGCGGCGGAATGGGGCAGGGTGATGGAAAGCGGGAGAATGGGGCGGGAGGATGTATAGCCGGAGAATGGGGCGGGGTTATGGCAAGCGGCAGAATGGGGCGGGGTGATGGAAAGCGGGAGAATGGGGCGGGGTGATGGAAAGCGGAAGAATGGGGCGGGGTGATGGAAAGCGGGAGAATGGGGCAAGGTGATGGAAAGCGGGAGAATAGGGCGAGGTGATGGAAGGAGGGAGAATGGGGCGGGGTGATGGAAGGAGGGAGAATGGGGCGGGGTGATGGAAAGCTGGAGAATGGGGCGGGGTGATGGAAGGAGGGAGAATAGGGCGGGGTGATGGAAAGCTGGAGAATGGGGCGGGGTGATGGAAGGAGGGAAAATAGGGCGGGGTGATGGAAGGAGAGAGAATGGGGCGGGGTTATGGAAGGAGGGAGAATGGAGCGGGGTGATGGAAAGCGGGAGAATGGGGCGGGGTTATGGCAAGCGGCAGAATGGGGCGGGGTGATGGAAAGCGGGAGAATGGGGCGGGGTGATGGAAAGCGGAAGAATGGGGCGGGGTGATGGAAAGCGGGAGAATGGGGCGAGGTGATGGGAGGAGGGAGAATGGGGCGGGGTGATAGAACGCGGGAGAACGGGGCGGGGTGATGGAAAGCGGGAGAATGGGGCGAGGTGATGGAAAGCGGGAGAATGGGGCGGGGTGATGGACAGCGGGAGGATGGGGCAGGTGATGGAAAGCGGGAGAATAGGGCGGGGTGATAGAAAGCGGGAGAATGGGGCGGGGTGATGGAAGGAGGGAGAATGGGGCGGGGTGATGGAAGAAGGGAGAATGGGGTTGGGTGATGGAAAGCGGGAGAATGAGGCGGGGAGATGGAAAGCGGGAGAATGGGGTAGGGTGATGGAATGCGGGAGAATGGGATGCGTTGATGGAAAGCGTGATTATAGGGCGGGGTGATGGAAAGCGGGAGAATGCGGCATGGTGATGGAAAGTGGGAGAATGGGGCGGGGTGATGGAAGGAGAATGTGGCGGGATGATGGAAAGCGGGAGAATGGGGTGGGGTGATAGAAAGCGGAGAATGGGGCGGGGTGATGGAAAGCGGGAGAATGGGGCGGGGTGATGGAAAGCGAGAGAATTGGGTGGGATCATGGAAAGCGGGAGAATTTGGTGGGGTGATAGAAAGCGGGAGAATGGGGCGGGGTGATGGAAAGCGGGAGAATGGGGCAAGGTGATGGAAAGCGGGAGAATAGGGCGAGGTGATGGAAGGAGGGAGAATGGGGCGGGGTGATGGAAGGAGGGAGAATGGGGCGGGGTGATGGAAAGCTGGAGAATGGGGCGGGGTGATGGAAGGAGGGAGAATAGGGCGGGGTGATGGAAAGCGGGAGAATGGGGCGGAGTGATGGAAGGAGAGAGAATGGGGCGGGGTTATGGAAGGAGGGAGAATGGAGCGGGGTGATGGAAAGCGGGAGAATGGGGCGGGGTTATGGCAAGCGGCAGAATGGGGCGGGGTGATGGAAAGCGGGAGAATGGGGCGGGTGATGTAAAGCGGGAGAATGGAGCGGGGTGATGGAAAGCAGGAGAATTGGGCGGGGTGATGGAAGTAGGGAGAATGGGGCAGGGTGATGAAAAGCGGGAGAATGGGGTGGGGTGATGGAAGGAGGGTGAATGGGGTGGGGTTATGGAAGGAGGGAGAATGGGGCGGGGTGATAGAAAGCGGGAGAATGGGGCGGGGTGATGGAAAGCGGGAGAATGGGGCGGGGTTATGGCAAGCGGCAGAATGGGGCGGGGTGATGGAAAGCGGAAGAATGGAGCGGGTGATGGAAAGCGGAAGAATGGGGCGAGGTGATGGAAAGCGGGAGAATGGGGCGGGAGGATGTATAGCCGGAGAATGGGGCGGGGTTATGGCAAGCGGCAGAATGGGGCGGGGTGATGGAAAGCGGAAGAATGGGGCGGGGTGATGGAAAGCGGGAGAATGGGACAAGGTGATGGAAAGCGGGAGAATAGGGCGAGGTGATGGAAGGAGGGAGAATGGGGCGGGGTGATGGAAGGAGGGAGAATGGGGCGGGGTGATGGAAAGCTGGAGAATGGGGCGGGGTGATGGAAGGAGGGAGAATAGGGCGGGGTGATGGAAAGCGGGAGAATGGGGCGGGGTGAAGGAAGGAGAGAGAATGGGGCGGGGTTATGGAAGGAGGGAGAATGGAGCGGGGTGATGAAAAGCGGGAGAATGGGATGGGGTGATGGAAGGAGGGAGAATGGGGCGGGGTTATGGAAGGAGGGAGAATGGGGCGGGGGTATGGAAAGCGGGAGAATGGGGCGGGGTGATGGAAAGCGGGAGAATGGGGCGGGGTTATGGCAAGCGGCAGAATGGGGCGGGGTGATGGAAAGCGGAAGAATGGAGCGGGTGATGGAAAGCGAGAGAATGGGGCGGGGTGATGGAAAGCGGGAGAATGGGGCGGGATGATGTATAGCCGGAGAATGGGGCGGGGTTATGGCAAGCGGCAGAATGGGGCGGGGTGATGGAAAGCGGGAGAATGGGGCGGGGTGATGGAAAGCGGAAGAATGGGGCGGGGTGATGGAAAGCGGGAGAATGGGGCGGGGTGATGGGAGGAGGGAGAATGGGGCGGGGTGATAGAACGCGGGAGAATGGGGCGGGGTGATGGAAAGCGGGAGAATGGGGCGAAGTGATGGAAAGCTGGAGAATGGGGCGGGGTGATGGACAGTGGGAGGATGGGGCGGGTGATGGAAAGCGGGAGAATGGGGCGGGGTGATAGAAAGCGGGAGAATGGGGCGGGGTGATGGAAGGAGGGAGAATGGGGAGGGGTGATGGAAGAAGGGAGAATGGGGTGGAGTGATGGAAAGCGGGAGAATGGGGCGGGGTGATGGAAAGTGGAAGAATGGGGCGGGGTGATGGAAAGCGGGAGAATGGGGCGGGGTGTTGGAAAGCGGGAGAATGGGGCGGGGTGATGGAAAGCGGGTGAATGGGGCGGGGTGATGGAAAGCGGGAGAATGGGGCGGGGTGATGGAAAGCGGGAGAATGGGGCGGGGTGAATGAATGCGGGAGAATGGGGCGGGGTGATGGAAAGCGGGAGAATGGGGCTGGGTGGTGGAAGGAGGGTAAATGGGACGGGGTGATGGAAGGAGGGAGAATGGGGCGGGGTGATGGAAAGCGGGGAGAATAGGGTGGGGTGATGGAAAGCGGGAGAATGGGGCGGGGTGATAGAATGCGGGAGAACGGGGCGGGGTGATAGAAAGCTGGAGGATGGGGCGGGGTGATGGAAAGGGGGAGAATGGGGTGGGGTGATGGAGAGCGGGAGAATGGGGCGGCGTGATGGAAAGCGGGAGTATGGGGCGGGGTGATAAAAGGAGGGAGAATGGGGCGTGGTGATGGAAGGAGGGAGAATGGGGCGGGGTGATGGAAAGTGGGAGAATGGGGCGGGGTGATGGAAAGCGGGAGAATGGGGCGGGGTGATGGAAAGCGGGAGAATGGGGCGGGGTGATGGAAAGCGGGAGAATGGGGCGGGGTGATGGAAAGCGGGAGAATGGGGCGGGGTGATGGAAAGCGGGAGAATGGGGCGGGGTGGTGGAAGGAGGGAAAATGGGACGGGGTGATGGAAGGAGGGAGAATGGGGCGGGTTGATGGAAAGTGGGGAGAATGGGGTGGGGTGATGGAAAGCGGGAGAATGGGGCGGGGTGATGGAAAGCGGGAGAACGGGGCGGGGTGATGGAAAGCTGGAGGATGGGGCGGGGTGATGGAAAGCGGGAGAATGGGTTGGGGTGATGGAGAGCGGGAGAATGGGGCGGCGTGATGGAAAGCGGGAGTATGGGGCGGGGTGATAGAAGGAGGGAGAATGGGGCGAGGTGATGGAAGGAGGCAGAATGGGGCGGGGTGATGGAAAGTGGGAGAATGGGGCAGGGTGATGGCAAGCGGGAGAATGGGGCGGGGTGATGGAAAGCGGGAAAATGGGGCGGGGTGATGTAAAGCGGGAGAATGGGGCGGGGTGATGGAAGGAGGGAGAATGGGGCGGTGTGATAGAAAGTGGGAGAATGGGTCGAGGTGTTGATCGACTGGATCCGCGCAGCTCGTCTCCAGCTCCGAGAGAGTTTCGGCTCGGACTTTCCTGTTCTGCGTCTTCACTCTGACAGAGGCGGCGAGTTTTCCTCTGCCCTTCAGGGAGCCTTCTGTCGTGCACAGGGCATCCGCCAGACCTTCACGCTTCCGGCCTCTCCACAGCAACATGGGCTTGCTGAGCGCCGCATTTGCATGGTCATGGACGTCGCTCGTACGTCTATGATCCATGCCGCTGCTTCCCTTTTTCTGTGGTCGTTTGCGGTTCTGTACGTGGCGCATCAGATCAACCTTTAGCCCCGGGTCTCCTTGCCGGAGACCTCCCCCACCTTACGGTGGACCGGGAAGGTTGGCGATGCGTCTGCGTTTTGTGTCTGGGGATCTCGGGCGTTTGTCCGCGACTTGTCTGCGGACAAGCTGTCCCCCCGTGCGGTTCCCTGCTTCTTCCTTGGCTTCCCCCCTGACGCGCCTGGTTGGCAGTTTTACCACCCCACCTCGCGCCGTGTTCTGTCCTCCCAGGACGTCACGTTTGACGAGTCGGTTCCTTACTACCGTCTCTTCCCCCTACCGCACTGCACCCCTCCCCCCCCCCCCCCGCTCTTCCTTGCGCCAGGTCCCCCCCTGGTAGACCCCCTCCGCCCTCAGGGTCTTGCCCCGTCAGGTGTGTCCCAGGTAGACGCAGTCGAGCCTGTCGAGGTAGCTGTTGACTCTCGTACTACTAGGGGTGCTGAGCCTGGGGGTGCTGAGTCTGGGGGTGCTGAGCCTAGGGGTGCTGAGTCTGGGGGTGCTGGGCCTGGGGGTGATGAGCCTGGGGGTGCGGGGTCTGGGGGTACGGAGCCTGGGGGTGCTGAGCCTAGAGGTGCGGAGTCTGGGGGTGCAGGGTCTGCTCGTGTGGCCTCTGGCGGTGCTGGGTTTGGGGCCCCTTCGGGTGCTTCGTCAAGGCGGGAGCTACCCTCTCCACAGGAGCTGCGCGAGTGGTTTGCCCGGCGCTGGAGCCGTGCTGCTGGAGCTGGAGGTGCTGCTGTTACTGCTGGCCCTGGGGTCGGCACTCGATTTACTGGAGCCACTGGTCCTGGAGGTGCTCGTACTGGCGGTACTGGAGCTAATGGGCCTGGGGGTGCTGATGACGGTCCTGCTGAAGTTGGTGCTGCGAGAGCTGAAGCCACTAGAGCTGGAGCTGCTGGGGGTGTTGGCGCTGGAGGTTCTGCTGGCGCTGGTGCGTCTGAGGGTGCTGGAGTTGGCGCTGTTGGAGCTGGAGGTGCTGCTGGCACTAGTGCTGCCGATGGGGGTACTGGTACTATCCCTGCTGGTTCTGGAGGCGCTGCGCGGCCGCGGCCGTACTTTGTTCCGCTCCTTGAGCAGGTTCTTGGTCTCCCGCCCTCTACTGGTCCTGCTCCTCCTTTAGAGTGTCCACAGCATGTCCAGTCGCGGTCAGAGTTACAGCCCGCCTCCCCCCTACCTGCTCCTTCTCCCTACACTGGTCCTACTGGAGGTCTTGCTGAGCGTTGTGAGCCTGTGTCTCGTCCTGCGTCGCCTGTTCGTGCTGCTCGCACTAGTAGTCGTGCTCCACAACCGCGTCCTCCTTCGGTCCCAGGCACACACCAGATGGCACTGTGCCCTTCTACTGCTCCTCTGCGTGTCCCGTTGCCGTCTCCTCCAGAGTCCTCTCTTCCTGTCCTTGCTGACCCGGAGTCTGACTCTCGTCCTGCTGCCAGTCCTACTGTCACGCGTCTCCTGGCTACTGTTGTCACTGACCTTCCTTTGAGTCCACTGCTGCGTCTGCCTTAGTTGCTGAGCTTGTCGACATTGCTGCTCGCTGTCGTCTAGACTACGCTGCTACTCTTGTTGCTGAGTCTGAGTCTGTCTGTCCTCCGTCCGTCGGGGGTGAGTGAGCTCTTAGCACGGACGTCCTTGAGGACAGGCAGGAGGAGTTCCAGTGTTTTGCTGCTGCTTTGCCTCATCTCCTGTCCACGCTGATTGCCCCTGAGGGAGACTCGGATGCACCAGACATCCCGACTCCTCGATCGTACGCTGAGGCGATCGAGGGTCCCTACTCCTCTCAGTGGCAGTCAGCCATGGACGCAGAGATGGCTTCCTGGAAGTCCACAGGCACCTACGTCGACGAGGTTCCCCCACCTGGGGAGAACATCGTTAGTGGCATAGGGATTTTCAGGGTGAAGCGGCCGTCGGGTTCTCCGCCTGTCTTCAGGGCGCGTTACGTGGCTCAAGGCTTCAGTCAGCGGCAAGGAGTTGACTACTTTCAGACCTTCTCTCCCACCCCGAAGATGACCACTCTTTGGGTGCTGCTGCACATAGCCGCTCAGCGCGACTATGAGCTTCACTCTCTTGACTTCAGCACAACTTTCCTGCAGGGCAGCCTGCACGAGGAGATCTGGCTGCGCCGCCCACCTGGCTTCACTCGGTCGTTTCTTCCTGGTACCCAGTGGAGCCTCCGGCGGCCAGTCTACGGTCTCCGCCAGGCGCCCCGTGAGTGGCACGACACACTGAGGACTACACTTGCGGCTCTTGGGTTTGCTCCTTCTACAGCCGACTCATCGCTGTTTCTGCGCACCGACACCTCTTTGCCGCCGTTCTACATCCTCGTGTACGTCGACGACTTGGTCTTTGCTACTGCTGACACTGCTGGACTCGCCCACGTGAAGTCCGAGCTGCAGAAGAGACACACGTGCACAGACCTGAGTGAACTACGCAGCTATCTTGGCTTGCAGATCACCCGGGACAGAGCACAGCGCACCATTACCCTGACTCAGTCACACATGGTGCAGCAAGCCCTTCAACGCTTAGACTTCACGTACTCCTCGCCTCAGGCCACTCCTTTGTCTACTCGCCACTCGCTCTCAGCTCTGCCTTCGGATGAGTCCGTAGAGCCGAGTGGCCCGTACCCAGAGCTTGTTGGCTGCCTCATGTACCTGATGACCTGCACACGACCTGACCTTGCATACCCTCTTAGCATCTTGGCACGCTATGTTGCTCCTGGGAGACACCGACCAGAGCACATGGCTGCAGTGAAGAGGGTGTTGCGCTACTTGTGCAGTACGTCGGGCATGGGGCTAGTGCTTGGAGGGTGACGTCGAGTGGTCCTCACAGGTCACGCTGAAGCTTCTTGGGCTGACGGCCAGGCTTTGCAGCGGTCGTCACAGGGTTACACCTTCAGCCTTGGCTCCGGCTCTGTTTCGTGGCGGTCTACCCGCTGGTCTTCTGTTCTCGGCTCCAGCTGTGAGGCTGAGATCTACGCGGGGGCCATGGCTGCACAGGAGCTACGCTGGCTCACCTACCTGCTGAGTGACCTAGGAGAGCCGCCTCGTTCTCCTCCAAATCTGTACGCAGACAACAAGGCCATGCTGGCCTTGTGTCGGGAGCATAGACTGGAGCACAGAACGAAGCACATTGCTCTCCGCTACTTCCTTGCTCGTGAGCTGCAGCAGCGTGGTCAGTTGCGCCTTGCTTACGTGGCCTCTGAGGCCAACACTGCTGATATCTTTACCAAGGCACTTCCGCCTGGTGATCATCAGCGCTTCTGTATGATGCTAGGTCTTGTGCCTACTTGGCCTCACTTGCTCACTTCTTGACCTTGCTTGTACTGTGATCTTTCTATACCTGCACTTGCCTGTTTACCTTTATATATGATCTTGCATGTGAACTGGCCTTTTGGCCCTGCTCTTGTGCTCGGATTGTACGGTGACGTTGTGATCCACCCTGAGCTTGCTTTGCTTTGCTTGACTGGTCTTGTGACCTCTTGTTCTCCCCCACTTTGCCTATGGGGGTGTGTCAAACTCATATGCTATAGTCTGTGTAGGCTGCAGTGGGGTAGACGATATAGGGTACAACACTTTTAGGTTTTCCTACTTGTATCCACCTGCTTGCTAGTTCATTCATTCCTCATTTCTTCACAACCGCATCTGGGTGCCTGGGTATACACTGCTTCGAGAATTACTGTTACAGGAGGCACACGACGGAGTCATCTCGGGGCATTTCGGAGTAGAAAAAACATGCCAGCAGCTGCAGCGGTATTATTACTGGCCCGAAATGTTGACCGACGTAAAACGACACGTGGCATCGTGTCCCACTTGTCAGCTCATGAAATCATCACGACAGCGGCCGGCGGGACAGTTGCAGCCGATACCACCCCCAGAACGTGCTTGGCAGCAGGTGACGATGGACTTCGTTACGGGGTTACCAGCCGGGGTGAGTGGGAACGACGCGATCCTCGTCGTCGTCGATCGACTGACGAAAATGGCACATTTCGCAGCCTGCAAAAAATCAATTACAGCCGAAGAAACAGCACGCCTCTTCATCTCCACCGTCGTTCGACTGCACGGGATACCAGCCGCGATCATCAGCGACCGCAATACGAAATTCACCAGCAACTTCTGGCGAAACCTGTGGCAGCAGTTCGGCACGCGACTACAGTTCAGTTCATCATACCACCCCGAAACCGACGGACAGACAGAACGGAAAAATCAGACCATGGAACAACTCATCAGGGCCACGTGTGACGACCCGACCACGTGGGAACAGCAACTGCCACTAATCGAATTCGCGTACAACAACTCGCCATCCGCCACGACCCCACAGTCACCATTTTACCTAAACTACGGACAAGACCCGACAGTACCAATGACCCCGAATCCCGACAACCCAGTACCACGAGCACAACAGTTCGCCGAAATATTACAAGCAGCACGGACCCGGGCAGTAGACGCAATAAAACAATCGAACATCATCGCTAAACGCAACGCCGACCGCCACCGCAGACCTGTCACTTACCAGCCCGACTACTTAGTTTTACTTGACACTCAGAACCTCCGACTGCCCATCACCCCGAAACTCCGCCCGCGATACTGCGGGCCATTTCGCATAAGCCACATGCTTACACCCGTCACCGCCCACCTCCTCCTCCCTGCTGACTGGTACGTCAGCCCCTCATTCCACGTCAGCCTACTTCGCCCTTACGTCCCGTCCACAAGCCAACTGCCACGCAATCGCCCAGCCAGCATGACAAGACCACCAACTGAACCAATCATCACCCCCGAGAAAATCCTGAGTCACAGAGTTCCCGACCCTCGAGGAGCCCGAAGGATCGAGTTCTTACTCCGCTGGAAAGACCGTACACCCACCGAAGACAATTGGGTTCCCCTGGACAGAATCGAAAACCACCCCATCCTCACCGAGTATCTGCGCAGCCGCAATTTCAGGGATGTACACGCACTTTCGTAAGGAGGACCTCCTTATGAGGGGGGGTAGTGTAAGGAAAATTCCTTTTCCTTACTTCGCATCCCTGCTTAACGCGTACATCACTGTAGCACCACAGTCAACACAATTACCGTACCACTTGCGACCCTCGCGCCGACAATCCGCCCGCCACCTTCGCACATTGCACCCCGACCTCACGGCTCGGCGGGTAACCCGCGCTCCGGGCCTCCGGACCAGGGCTGACGATATCAGGGTAATTACCCTGATTTCAGGGTGATTACAGGCTTATGACTTGGTGGTCCCTGCAAACTCAGGTTTTGTATTTTGTGAACTCTGATCCTATCAGAGTAGGCACTTAACGGACTCTGAATTCTTGTAACTAGGCTCAGGGTAGTATACTTGCCGAGTCTGTCAATGCAGAGTATGCGTTCCGTGGACCCTGAATGCGAGGGTATTGGGACGAACTTTCCTAGAAGTTTCGTTTCGATAACCCCCTTGTGCGTAATCATTTCTTCGAGTGGCCCCATGTGAGGTACATCACTCACGCGCCCGTGAGTGACGTAATACCGACAAAGGACACCACTTACGTGCTGTACATTGCAGCTGGCAACCACGCCAACGCAGCCAACTCAATGAGACGGTGCAGCCACGCGCACCGCACAGTGCACAGCATGTGTCTGCCATTGGCCAGAATGGTCTGTACACAGCATGCGGTGGGAGCCAAGGAGTCCTTGAATGAATTCGGCCTTGAATGCAAGGACGAATTCATCTAGGAATGTTGCCATCAAGTCCGTGGAATCGCGGCGCGGTGGTTTCGTGCTCCCGCCATCTCCAACCTCCCCTTCCCTCCCCATACCAGCAGCCAACGTTCCTTTGTTCACTAGTGTGTTATCTCCATTACGTGCCTTCATTGTCCCAATTTTCTCTCGTTCAGTTTAGCCACCAATGGAGGCCATGCCGGCCGACGAAGCTCCTCCGGACACTGGCCCCGACGAGCCGCCTGTAAGAGCGAAAACAACAGCGCCGTCCCATCCGGAGAAAGCTTCGGATGCTCCCCGCTCTGGGCTAGATTTTATTAGATCTACGGCTGCTCCCGTCACACCTGAACCGCCTAGATCTACCGTTCACGATTCTGCCGTTGTAGTAACCCCTACTCCTACTGCTTCTCCTATTCCCGTCCCGTTCACTCTCCCTCCGGCTGTTGCTGGCTGCAGCAAAAATCCTCCACCGCCCTCGCCCAGTGTTACTCCAAGCACGGTGCGGGTGTCCGTTGGCCCGCCGTCGGCTACTTCCGCTCCCAAGCGTGCGCGATCTGGAAAGTGGGCGCAGAGTACTCTGCTGGTGGGAGGCCGCCGTATTCCACCGCCGGAAAAGCCCGATGAGCCTGCACAGGAAGAAGCTGAGCTGCCGGAAGAAGGTGACATCCCGCTGCGCGCGGATACCGGCTCGCCGGCACTCACCAAGACGCAGCTGCGAGAGCAGATGTACCTGGAGACGAGTATTAATTACGAGACGAAGTGGGCTGGATATTTTTCCTGGCTTGTGTTTGGGAAAACCAAGGACGGTTTCCCGTACGTGAAGTGCAGCGTGTGCATGTCGTACGGTAAAGGGAACACGAGGTACGCCATGCATGGAGACGACGGAGGCCGTGACTTGCAGACGCAGGCGTTCCGGGCGCACGAGCATACGGAGGCACACATGGCGGCGGTGGACCGCCAGATGAAGATTGCGGCGGGAATCCGCCAGGGTCAGCAGGTGATTTCGGACTTCATCAACTCCGACGTCGAGGGCCGCCGCGCGATACGGCTGATGCGGTCGACTCAGTTCCTGTGCCAGTGCGACGCGCCGATTAGCATGTTTCCTAAGCTGATGCGGCATCTTGCGGAGCAGGACACGCCAGACATTCCCCGGCAGTCGTACGGCGTTTATCTCACGCAGTTAGTGACGGTTCAAATTGCTTGCAAATTTAAACATTCACGTCAAATAACTTGCTTGACTATCGTGTACTGATAATTTCTCTGTCCTTTGTTGCAGCTACGGCTTCCAGCAGATGGTCCACAGCATGAGCACTTACCTCACCCGGGTGCAGATGGACCACGTCTTAGCATCACCGTTCCTGGGCATCCAGTGCGACGAGAGCACTGACCGCACGCGAGGGAAACACATGATTGTGTACCTTACATATCTGAAGAACCGCCAAGTTGCATGCGAGTTTTTCACTTTGCTGACGGTCGAGCGGTGTGATGCAGGGTCCTTGTTTGAGGTGCTGCTGAACCATCTTCGCTCCGCTGCCGTCGATGTGTCCAAGATCGTCGGCATCAGCACGGACGGGGCGTCGGTCATGACCGGGAGAGACAACGGATTGGTGGCGCGTCTACATGAACACGTCCCTCATCTGTTCTCATGCCACTGCATCGCCCATCGGTATGTGAGTTGATCAATATTGTAGCATGTTATCTACGATGATTAGTTTACTAACAAACCATAATATTTGTTCCCTGCTTTACACAGTGAGGCGTTGGCTGTGAAGGACGCCGCTGAGTCAAACCCGGATCTCGACATGGTCGACAAGGTGGTGCGCACTGTGGCGACTCTGCTCGGAAACTCCAGCGTGTGGAGTCAGCGGTTCAAGTACCTGCAGCGTGTGATTTACAAGACCAACCTGGAAGTCCAAGGCATACACACGGTGCGGTGGCTGTCTCGAGGAGATGCGGTGGCCAGGCTGTGCAAGGTCCTCGGCGCTTGCATCGTTCTGCTGTGGGAGCACAATCACAAGGCGTACGAGATTGTCACCTGCTACAAGTTTCAGTTCTGCTTGTTTTTCTTGGCCGACATCTTGGCTGACATGAACGACCTCAACCGCTGCTTCCAGAGACGAGAGGTGAGGTCGCATGTTTGTATGACGTTGCTACGTGAGGCTCGTAACTGCACTGTTGCTCATCCTTCTCCCTCTTGTTTACCCCTGCTCTGCCACAGCTGGACGTGACGGAGATTGCGAAGATGATCGAGTCCACAACGAGTGACCTGGTGGAGCGCTACTTGACGCCAGAGAAACCTTTCGGGGGCGAAGGGAAGAGCTGGCTGGTGACCTTCCTCAAAGTCCACAAGGAGGGTGGAGGCAAGCAGGTCCGGGTGCGCGGCGTGGACGGTGCTGGGCGCCCGATCAACCACCTGTACACCATGCATGAGCGGAAGCTGAAGGGACACAAACACGGAAGCACCTACGCAGACTGCGTGAAGTTGTGCCGCAAATTCGCCCGTGACTGCGTGGACAACCTCACCAACCGACTGGATGACCTTGGGAAGCTGGGGCCGACGAAGCTGTTCAGGGCAGGCAAGTGGCCGAAGATCAAGGCCCAGCGAGAGAAGAAGTGTAAGGAGTGGCTGAACGGGTGCAGCAAGTTGTTCCGCAACAAGCTGCCGGGATTCGACATCAAAGCAGCAGAGAGGGAGCTTCCAACCTTCTGCGCGATCATGGAGGCACACCATGAGATGGAGAGCTTCACCCAGGGCCTCTCCAACTTCCTTGGGAGCGCAGACTCCAAGAGGTAGCCTTTACTTTGCGTCCATGGTTTTACAATCTTGTTGATTGCTAGCTAATTCCGTTGTGTTGTGTGTACGCATGTGCCTGGCAGGAGATGGCCCAACCTCATCCTGCTGTGGCAGGCGCTGGCTGTGCTCCCTCTCTCCACCGTGGAGTGCGAGAGGGGGTTCTCCAGGCAGAACGTCATCAAGTCCTGGGTGCGAGGAGCGTTGTGCAACGCGCGTCTGGGGGAGCTGATGCAGATATCGCTCCTCAAGTATGAGATCGACTGGCCGGAGGCACTGGAGGTGTGGAGGTCCCTGCGTACTAGGCGCCCTGCGAAGAGCTTGAAGCTGGCTGTAGCAGAGAGGGAGAGGAAAGGGAAGCAGAAGGAGGGTGAAGATGTGGCTGCTCAAAATGCCCGGGAGAATGAGGATGAGGAGGAGGAGGAGGACGATGAAGTAGAACAGGCCTTTGACGACGATCAAGAGATTGTGGGGGAGGAGGAAGGGGAGGACAATCCATTCCTGTCGGACGATGAGGATGTGGAGGAGGTGTACTTCATAGACAAGCCCGTGCACTAGACTAGATAGAGTAGGAAACTGCATGCACTTGTCTTATTACTGAAAATAGTGCATTGTTAATAGCAACCCTGTTATTGAGCTGTGAACCCTGTCCGGTCAGGGTTGGACTTCGTGTGACACTGAGCTATCAGGGTAGCTACCTTGCGAAAAATGTCCCCTCATAATAGAGGGACAATTTTTTTACTGGAATCAGGGAGTCTTAAAACGAAACGTCAGCCCTGCTCCGGACCCCGACACTTTTTCCCAACCACAGTCCCAGGCCCGTCGCGCGACAACCACAGTCCATTACCGTTACCACTGTATTTTCGCTATATATTATTCGCTCATGCCTTTGCTCATTGTACTCTTGCTTCGATAGTGCAATTCTCGTTCGTTCACTCAATTGCACTCGTAACAGCTGCGCACAACTGCAAATTTCGCCTGGTCGCGAAGTAACGTGATACATTTAAATTTTGTTACGCGAGATTGACAAAATGTTTCGACGCGACTCGAGAAGAATGGCAATGAGACAAAAGTGTCCACACAAGAATGTACCCTTAATAGTAAGTCAAACATACCACTAGGTTATCAGGGAAATGTTTATCTAGGGGAAAACCCCTTTTGTCTCATTGCCATGAGACACAAGTGTCCACAAAAGAATGTACTCACTATTACTTCGATCCATTCCATTGCACCCGTAATAGTAAGTCAAACATTCCACTAGGTCATCAGGGAAATGTTTATTTAGGGGAAAACCTTAGAGCACCAGTCTTGCATTTATTCATTCTCTAGAAAGACCAGCGCGGTGAGAACAAGACTGCTAAGGCACAGAGACGGGAGCCTCTCATTCCTGGCTCTGATCTTCAGGCAGGTGGATGTGATCCTGAGAGGGCTCCCGCACCCACCCCCACCAAAGCCAGAGCGCTTGAAGGCCTCCAGTCTGCATGGGATGCCACTTCACTGCAGCTGCCCCACACACCCCGCCCCATAACACCCTCCTTGCCCCCATCACCACTACCCTCCCCACCGTGTGACACCCTCATCTTCTTTGCCACACATCCCCCACCATCCCTCCCCCCCTCTTCCACCCTCTTTCCTGCCACCGGCACCCCCCCATGCTGAATGCCATGCGCACCAGCCAGCCCACCCACGCCATGCAGCCACCCCGCCTGCATGTCATCCAGTAGCAGCCCATCCGCACTGCCCATCGCAGCAGCCCCATGTGAACCACTTGCCTCTCCCCATACTGACTCCAGCGCCTCTGCAGCGTCGTCCACGCCCGTGCCCATGCCCGTGCCCGTGCCCATGCCCGTGCCCATGCCCGTGCCCGTGCCCATGCCCATGCCCGTGCCCGTGCCCGTGCCCATGCCCGTGCCCATACCCGTGCACGTGCACGTGCACGTGCCTACACAGCAGGCGCCAAGGGCGGCGCTGGGCGTGGGGGGCGCGCTGGAGGCGCCTGTGCCGCCACCCGCCACAGCCGCCACGTCACTCGCCAGCATGCGCCCGTGCCGCTGCTCCGGGTCGCTCAGGTACACGGGTCCCCCTTCCGCCCTCCCCCCTGTGCCCTCCTCCGCACGGCCCTCACCGTCGCCCACGGCCCACACTGGGTAGCCATCAGCCGTGCCGCCTTCTGCCTTGTCCCCAGCGCCCCCCACCCGCTTAACCGCCTGTCCTTCCTGCGCCCGCTCCTGCCACTGCCTGGACCCATCTGCGCACCCCTTCTTTTCCACGCCAACAACCCTCGGCCTGCCTCGCGGCCTCCCTGTAGGCCCTTTGCTCTTCCGCCCCCTGCCGCTCGCCCCCACTCCGGCACCGCCGCCCAACGGTCCCTTGCTGCCCCGCCCCTCGACGCCGCCCGTCCGCTGCGCGCTGCCATGCAGCCCCGCCCTCACTGCTGCAGGGCGGCCAGGACCACCGCCGTCCGCGGGTCCGACTGGGCGGCTAGCGCCACACGCGCTCATCCGCCAGGTCTCCGCTTCGCCCTCGCCGCGCTGCTCACTGTTCCCATTTCCTGGACGGCCCGCTCTCTGCCACTCCGCCGCCCCCGCGCTGTCCTGGAACTGAACCATCGCGCGGCCTTCCTTGATCTCGTCGCGCCCAACCTCGCGCCGCTCTCCCCATTTCATCGCTTCCTCTTCGCCGCTCCCGTCGCCGCCAGTTTTGGCATCTGCAGGAGACGCAGTGGCGGCGTTCGAGAGCGCGCGCGGCGTTGAGGCGGGGGACGGAAGACGAGCAGAGGCCGGAATGCGAATCAAGGGCGTGGCGTGCGACGGAGTGAGCGCGGCGAGCGACCCCTTCTTGCCGCTGCCCTTGGGCCGGCCTCGCTTCCTCTTCACCACCACCTCTCCTCCCTCCTCCCGTTCCTCCGCTCGCACCACGACGCCGCCGCCCACGGTGTGAGTTCCTGCGCTCGGCGCGCAGCCCGCAACGACAGCTGCCGCCTGCGACGCCTGGGCGGGAAGAGAGCCCTCGTCCCCGCCAGCCAGCGAATACTGGGCGACGGGCCGAACGGCAGAGTGCAGTTGGCCGCCACCATTGGCTGGCCGCGCGCCGTTCCTCCGTCCGTCGCCGATGGGCGACGTAAACGAGCGACGTGCGAGAAGCGCAGCAGCAGGCGGAGCGGAATAGTCAACAGCCGCGGCAACAGCGGCGGCGCCATCGTCATCGTCGTCCGCGAGGACCACTGTGGCGAGTCCCGCCTGCCGTCGCCCGTCGTACAAGCTTTCCGCGCACTCGTCTGCGGCTTGCGCGGCATCTGGCACGCAGGGCTGCGCGGCGCAGCGGAGCCACGTGAAGGCGGAGTCGAGAACCGCCAGCACCTCCACCTCTCGCGCGTCAAGCACCGCGCGCAGCCGCGCCATCCGCTCCAGCTCGCGCTGCACCGCCGCGCGTCTCCCGGGGCCAGACGCAGCGGCGGGTGTCACGGTGGAGGAGGGAGCGCGGAGTAAAGGAGGGGTCGGCAAGGACCCTTTGCGACACGGCGCGGCAGTGTCATCCAGATCGTCGCTGTCCCCGTCGTCGCGACTCAAGTGCGGCGGCGACGCGGAGGCGCGCCAGCGGAAATGGCCGTCCATGGCTGGCAGTAGCCAAAAGACGCAGAGGCAAGCGTGGAAGGAGATTGGGAAGCGCAGCAGGCTACGCAGGGCAAGTTTGGAAATAGTTTCGCTGCCGTCGTTGGCTGGAGAAGCTGAAATGGGAGCAGAGAGCAGAAATCCCTCGTTCACTATGCCAGCAACAGCAATCACTACACCACTCGGTTGATGGGCGCACATTTCCAACTTCCAAGTCGCGCGCGCCATGCCATGCGCTCGCACGCCACAGTTGGCCTTGAACGGGGGAGCAGCATGCCGCCCCTCCGCGACACACTGTGCTGGATGGAGGAATCGTGAGGGGGGTGCCCCGTCAGCTGCTGCCCTCGCAGCATCAGCGTCAGCTTCGGCGATCGCCTCAGGCTCGGCACAAGCGTGTGAGACTGACTTGAACGTCGGGGATTGGGTTATGCGCGCCAAGACTGAAGCTCGGCAGCCAATGGGTACGTTTGTTGACGGGTGACCTGGCGATGCTTCAGCGAAAGAGATTTTGAATTGAGCTACTTCATTTCATTCAAATTATCACCCATTACAGAACAGACTTGTAAGTGTAGCAGCAGCCTTACAATGGGAACTCGAAACTGTGATATACGTGTTTCATTGACATTCACCCATCTCTCACCGCAACAGCTGCACCATCCAAGGGGACACGCTCTATCCCATTCCACATTCCGCAGCGATCACCGCGCACCGCATCGCATCGCAACAGTCCGCCGCCATTATCTGCCAGCCGCCATGACCGCCGCCTCCATCTCCGCCTGCAGCGAGTGCCTTCTCCCACGCCGCCCCCTCGGCCCTCACGCGCCTCCGCGCCGCAGCGCCCACGCCAAGCCGTTCCCCAGACCCGCGTTCACCCCGTCCCTGCCCGCCAGCCTCCTCTCGAATCCCCGTGCCGTCTGCCGACCGCCGCGCGCTGACCGTGCTGCCGCACCGCGCGCGCAATTATCGTCGCACGACGATCTCGAGGGACGACAGCAGCGCGACACGTGTCTATCCCGCCGGGACGCCCTCCTCTCCCTCGCGCTGCTCCCCCCCTCCCTCTCCGCCGCCGCGCTCCTCTCCCCGTCACCGTCGCTCGCCGCGTCGCCGGCGGCCCCCGACACGACGGTGACGCACCGCGCGTTCCTCGACTTCGCCGTGTGCCCCACGGCCGTGCGCCTCGACCGCACGCTGGGCGACGACGCGCTCATCTGCGCCGACGGCGAGCCGCTCGGGCGCGTCGTGCTGGGGCTGTACGGGCGCGCGGCGCCCGACACAGTGGCGCAGTTCGTGCGCATGGTGGCGGGCGACGCGGGGTCGACGTACCGGGGGAGCGTGATCCACCGCTCGCTGCCCGGGCAGTACGTGCAGGCGGGGCATCAGGGGCAGGTGGCGCGCGGGGACGTGGCTCCGCCGACGCTGCTTCCGCCGAACCGCGACACGGTGGCGGCGGCGTCGTTCGCGCTGAGCCACCTGCGGCCCGGCACGCTGTCGCTGTGCGTGGGGGAGAACAACGACGACGAGCGCGCGCGCGCCCGCAGCAACTACCGCAACGTCGAATTCCTCATCACCACGGGTGGGAGGGAAGGGGGGCGAGGTGTGGAGGAAAGGGAAACGTCCAGTAGGGGGGTGAGACGGTGGGGGGAAGAGGGGGAGGGGGGGAAGAGGGGGAGGAGGGGGAAATCATCCATCTCTTGCTCGTTGCTCTCTTCGTCGCTTTCATGTGCCGCCTTCCCCCCTCATCTGCTGCCTCCTTCCCTCATTGGCCATCCTTTCCCCCTGCACGCCCTATCCTCTCCACTCTGCTCCGCGGCCTACCTCTTGTGAGGCACACGCCTTCCCCCTCACGCCCTGCCCCCTCGTCTCAAAGCCCCTTCCCTTGTCATCTGTCACCGGCTTTCCCCCATCAGCCCTGGCCCCGTGACTCAGCTCCACACGGACTTCGCGTTGAACACATGTTACGGCTCGCTGCCTCCTCACATTTCCTCTTTCTCTCCCCATCCCCCCCCCTCCTCTCTCTCCCGCCTCACCCCACCAGGTCCTGGCCCGGCCACGCAGCTGGATGGCGACAACATTGTGTTTGGCACCGTGCTGGCAGGTGAGTGTGGTGTGGTGCATTGGGTGTGGGGTTCTGGGTTCAAAGTGAAGGAACCACGGGGGATATGAAGCGCATGCTGGGAGGGGTGGGTGGAGATGGCGGGGGTGGGAGAGAGCGGCGGCTGGGTGTGAGGGCATAGCAGGGGCTGAGCGCATTCATGCCGCACCACCCCGTGCCTTCCGCTCCCTTCTCCCCATCCCACCTGCTTCCACTCCTGCCCTGCTTCCTCTGAATTCAACCTGATCATCTCTCCTCCTCCCCCCTCCATGCTCTCCTCCCCCCTCACCCCCATGCTCTTCTTCTCCGCCTCACCTCATGGCCCTTGGCATGCGCCCTGTGGGGGAGCACGGAGCAGGCATGGAGGTGGTGGCAGCGGTGGCAGCAGTGCCCACCTTCCAGCCCAGCGACCGCATCCGCCAGTTCAACGACTTCGCTGCTCTGCTGGGTGACGACCGCGCCGCCAAGGGCCGCGGCACGTGGAACCGCCCTCTTAAAGCCATCGTCATCCAGGACTGCGGGCTGCTGGAGTGACAAGAACGCAGGCGGCTGGAGGCCCCCCACCCGTTCCTTTCCCACCCATCCTCCGCCCTGACCCTTCCCCTGCCACCACTCTCCTGCCCCCTCTGCCTCCCCTCATGGAGGTCCACAATTTTGATGCGTGGCTGGTGCTCGTTGCTGCTGCCTGCTGCTTGCCTCTGCCTGGTGGGCGCACCCAGGACGGTGCAAGGGACCACCGCAGCTGCATGCTGCCAGGACTGGTGGATGCTATGTCTTGCACAAGTCACGTGTGGTACCAGTTTGTACATTCGATTCATACTACTAGAGACCTTAGCAGTTATTTATAAGACATGTGAGATATGATAGTTATTCCGTACATGTGAATTTTGCCAGTCCCATCTCAAAACATTGCAAAAAACGTATGAGTAACAAGGAAGCATGCAGCCTAGGAAGCAGCAGAGGAGACGGGTGGTGCTGGTGCAGCAGTTGAGTCCACTGCTTTCTCCGCCTCCTTGTTCACCACCTGCCATGCCAGTGACGAGGGTACAGAGGAGCACAGAGGGGCACAGTGCGAGAGGAGGAGTGAAGGGAGATGAGAGGTGTGGGCGTGGAAGCAAGGGTACAGATTGCTGATGTAGGTGTGGCAGCATGCAAGGGTGATGGGTGGAGGAGGTGCGCCACACATGGGATGGCATGGATGGGAGCATGGGCACATGTGATGGCAACGCGAGTGCATGCAGGAGGGAAAGGGGCGCTAGGGCACAGACCTTGTTGTTGATGAGGTTGTGCAGCGCGATGATGGACCGCACCAGCGATGCCACATACACCGCCAGCGTCATGTCGTTCGTGCGCACTGCCATGCCATGCCATGCCATCAGTGCCATCAGTGCCATCAGTGCCATGCCATGCCATCAGTGCCATGGGTGCCATGCCACGCCAACAGACAGGGAGGAGCAGGGCAGGAAACAAACGGGATGCGTAAACTAAATGAGGCACATATTGTCATGACGCGCACTGACTCTTGGGCAGTGTTGAGTGCAGTGCAGTGCAGTGCAGTGAAGGGAGCGGAGGGAACTCACCAGCGAAGGCCTTGACGAGGTCGTCCACGTTGAGGTTGGGCAGCAGGTTGAAGGCGTCCTGCACGCCGTACAGGATGTCCGCCTGCATAACAGTGCAGTGCGGTGCAGTGGAGTACAGTGCAGCTCAGTGCAGTGCGGTGCAGTGCAGCACGGTGCGGTGCAGAACTCACCAGCGAAGGCCTTGACGAGGTCGTCGACGTTGAGGTTGGGCAGCAGGTTGAAGGCGTCCTGCACGCCATACAGGATGTCCGCCCGCAGGGGCAGCCGCCCTGCTGCCACCAGATCCAGGTATGAGCGCAGCTGCCGGAGCCGCGACTCCAAGCCCTTGAGCGCCACCAGCTTGGCGCTCACCTGGGGGATGCGAGGGGGACGAGGGGAGGTGGGCGGGTTGGGGAGCACAAGGGGGCATGGGGAGCACAAGGGGGCATGGGGAGCACAAGGGGGCATGGGGAGCACAAGGGGGCATGGGGAGCACAAGGGGGCATGGGGAGCACAAGGGGGCATGGGGAGCACAAGGGGGCATGGGGAGCACAAGGGGGCATGGGGAGCATTCTTTGATTGACTTGAATCACTCACCTGGGAAGCGGGGAGGGGGGGGGGGGGGGGGGGGGGGGGGATGGCGGGGAGGAGGGGGGGGCACAAGAGAGCAGGGGGGATATAAGGGAGCACGGCGAGCATGCAAAGTAGCACAGTGTGCATGAGAAAGATGTTCCAGAAATGAAGGAGCAGTGATTAGGCATGCGACGCATGAGAGCATCGCTACAGTGATTGCTGGAGTGCGCGTGGCAGGGCGGGCATGGATGCGCGCACCTCAGAGGCGAGGGTGGTGATGGTGGCGTCCTTCACATCGCGCAGCAGATGCTCCACTCCTGAGGGCGGGTGAGGGGGCACGTGGCGATGGGGCCAGGGGCATGAGACACGAGGGAGGGCAGGGTAATGGGGGGGGGAACGGGGAGGTGACACACAAGGAGGAAAAGACGGAGGTGTAAAGGAGTTGCGCGTACATCACTATAATACCACCCCGCTGCCTTCCCACCCTCCGCAACCATCTGCACCATATAATTTATCCACTCACCAATCTCCTCCGCCTCGTATGCGCCGATCTCCGATGAGATGTGCACAAACGCCTTCTGACTCTTCTGCGTGCCGTCCTGCTCCATGCATGCCATGCCATGCCATGCCATGCCATGCCATGCCATGCCATGCCATGCCATGCCATGCCATGCCATGCCATGCCATGCCATGCCATGCCATGCCATGTCATGCCATGCCACACCATGTCACGCCATGCCATGTCACGCCATGCCATGTCACGCCATGCCATGTCACGCCATGTCACGCCATGTAATGCCACCAGATGCCATGCCATTCCACCATGCCATGCCATGCGATGCGAGGTGACATCAACCATGCGGCAACGAATGAGCCATACAACACAGCGACCTGCTTGCAACCATGCGGCAACGAATGAGCCATACAACACAGCGACCTGCTTGCAACCATGCGGCAACGAATGAGCCATACAACACAGCGACCTGCTTGCAACCATGCGGCAATGAATGAGCCATACAACACAGCGACCTGCTTGCAACCATGCGGCAACGAATGAGCCATACAACACAGTGACCTGCTTGCAACCATGCGGCAACGAATGAGCCATACAACACAGCGACCTGCTTGCAACCATGCGGCAACGAATGAGCCATACAACACAGCGACCTGCTTGCAACCATGCGGCAACGAATGAGCCATACAACACAGCGACCTGCTTGCAACCATGCAGGGCAGTGCCATGCTCGCAACAGCACAACAAAGGGCTCACAAAGAAGTCCATACACTGCTTTGTGTGCAACGCCTCATCACCCCTCATCACCCCCTCGCCACGCCTCATCACTCCCCACCTCGCCTGAGCTACGCCACACTCCGCTACCCACGGCTGCGCACCTCCTTGACGTCCTCGACGGTGCAGTAGGCCTGTGAGGGGATGGCCAGCTCACGCGGCTGCACGTCGATGATCACCAGCACGGGGTCGCTGCAGTAGCTGTTGAAGGGGGCGGCACACATGGGGGCATAAACGCACGAGTAGGGTGTTGGATGGGCGGATGAGTAGGGGGGTGGATGGGTGAGTGGGGGGGTGGATGACCAGCTTGTGAGGCTGCACGTCGATGATCACCAGCACTGGGTCGCTGCAGTAGCTGCGGGATGGAGGATGGAGGGCACGCACATGCGGGCAAGGGCGGATGGGCGCACGGGTGGTGGGTTGGATGGGTGAGGAGGCGGAGCGGATGGATAAGCAGCTCACGAGGCTGCACGTGTATGGTCACCAGCACGTGTATGGTCACCAGCACGTGTATGGTCACCAGCACGTGTATGGTCACCAGCACGTGTATGGTCACCAGCACGTGTATGGTCACCAGCACGTGTATGGTCACCAGCACGTGTATGGTCACCAGCACGTGTATGGTCACCAGCACGTGTATGGTCACCAGCACGTGTATGGTCACCAGCACGTGTATGGTCACCAGCACGTGTATGGTCACCAGCACGTGTATGGTCACCAGCACGTGTATGGTCACCAGCACGTGTATGGTCACCAGCACGTGTATGGTCACCAGCACGTGTATGGTCACCAGCACGTGTATGGTCACCAGCACGTGTATGGTCACCAGCACGGGGCCGCTGCAGTAGCTGTGGGATGGAAGTGGGCGCACATGGGCACATGGGTGGATGGGCACATGGGTGGGGGGGGGTTGGTAGAGCGCATGGGGGCGCGGGTGATGTGTCTGATAGGTGGAGGGGCGGATGGATGGGTGCAGTGCACGTGTATGATCACCAGCACTGGGTCGCTGCAGTTGCTGGGGTAGGGTGAGGGGTGCAATAGGCAGACGGGTACATGGGTATGCGTGGACGGTTGATAGGCGCACGTCTGCATGGGTGGATGAGTGGATGGATGGGTGCATGTGTGCATGGGTGGATGAGTGGAGGGATGGGTGCATGTGTGCATGGGTGGATGAGTGGAGGGATGGGTGCATGTGTGCATGGGTGGATGAGTGGATGGATGGGTGCATGGGTGGATGGATGGATGGATGGATGGGCGACTGACTTATAGAAGAGCTCCTGGATGTCGAGGTCGCTCTCGCGGATCTTGGGACCCGTCGAGTACCACCCCACCACTCGCTCCTTGGCTGCTCGCACCGCACCGCACCGCAGGGAGTGGGGTGGGGCGGGGGGGCACACATGCAGATGGGATGCACGAGGGCATATGATGGGTGAGTGTGAGGCGCATTCACGAACTGCGGGCGTGAAACAAGCAGCAGCTTGTGACGGGCGAGAACGAATAAGCCTCGTGCAAGCCAGGTGCGAGTGGGCGTCGGGCAAGTGATGCGCGGGGAACGAGCGTGGAGCGGGGCAGCAGGGCGGCAGGGCGGCGCACCGTTGATCTTCTTGAACATGGCGAACATGGCCTCGTGGTAGTTGTGATCCAAAAACCAGATGCTCGCATCCTTGTCGTCCTCCTCGAATGGCACTGCCACCACACCACCCAGCCACGCACCACGTACACCCACACGCGCACCACACAGCACCATGCTCGGACGGACGCCACCAGGCAGCACCACGCAGCACCACGCAGCACCATACAGTACCACAGCAGGACAGAACAGGTAAGGAGTAGGGCATGGTTTTGTGGGACGCAACGGCAGCGCGCGAATTACAGCGACTGAGAGCACGCAGTCACGAAAGCTGGCGCAAACTCAGAGATTCGCGCTGATCAGATCGGGATCATTGATTCACGCTGATCCCCCACACCCACGCCTGACAGCTCTGTCAGGCGCCTAACAACCCTCTCCCGCCGCGACCCACTCAACCCTAACCTGCGTAGCTGTTAGTAACGTCGATGCGGCCGCGCGCCGTTTCGCCGAGCAGCACGCCGAGCACGCGCTTGTGCGTGTCCTTGGCGACGCGGTTGTAATGATCCACGATGCTCAGCAGCACCAGCGGATGCACCACCACCTTCTCAATCGCCACCGCCTTCCCCATGCTGAACGCGCGCTCACTCACTCGCTTTTAACGCGACGACGACGAATTTATTGGATTGCGAGAGTAGGCAACGAGATTGGCGCGCGGGTCGTGGAGATCGCGAGAGAATCGAGCGTGAGTCGGGGGATCCAGACGAGGGAAGTAAAGGGAGAGGGGATTTGTCTGACGAAGCGGCACACGCAGGCGATGGCTGATAAATCGAGATTCGAAAGATTAGGGAGAGATGTGCGATGCGATGGTACTGTGGTGGGGGGAGGGAGAGGGTGAGCAGCAGTCAGTTTGGGTGAATGAGGTGTACGCGATAAAAGTGACTTCGTCTCGGAAACCTCCATTTCGCTCCACCACTCTATGCTTTCTCGGAATAGAACAAGGCGTTGGTTCGAGGAAGCATTTCTTCCCTCGGGAATTGGTTTGGTAATGTCACGTTTCTAGCGAAAATCGCTGACCGTCGCCCAAAATTCTATCAGGAGTTCCGTGTGTCAGCCTTCCACATGATACATCCCTCACACCCCCTCCTCTCATCCCTCTTCGTTATTATCACTTTCAGCCGTCCACCTCTCCATAACTAGACCATTTGGCGTAGTTACGATTATCTAGTAGTGCTCGTCATTCCCATTTTCCCTGTCGCCGCGCACCCGCCATGCGCCAGTGGCCGGGAATGTGCCCGTCGCGGGCACATCCACTCACACCGCCGCATCCCCTCTCGATGGCAAACCCCCTAACGACGGCACATTAGATTTGTTCGCGACAACCTTCCAGCAGCTCCCTTTTTTTCCGCCATGGCGCTGTGGCGGATCCAGGCGGTGTTGGGGACGACGCTCGCGCTGGCTGCGGGGTCGTTCAACGCGGGGAGCGTGGCGACGATGGCGGAGGCGGGGTCGCAGTTCGGCGCGCAGCTCGCGTGGGCCTTCGCCTTCGCGCACGGCCTCGCGCTGCTGCTCAACCTCCTCGCCATGCGCGTCGCCTTCGCCACGCGCCAGTCGCTGCCGCTCGTGAGCCTCGCGCCGCCGCGCTGCCTTATAAGAACTGATTTAGGCTTTCCTGCCCTGATCCATGGGTTTCGTCGCTCCGCGCTTCCTCGTCCACCCGGCACGCTCTCCTCTCGCCTGCGAAGATTTTCGCCAATCAGATCGCGTCTTTCGCCGTATTGCCCGCTGCCAATCCTCCCCTTCGCTGCTCCTTCCCCCCCATCCCCTCCCATTTCCCCCCAACCCCCCCCGCTTCCCCCCGCGCGTGACCACGTGCGCGGCGCGCAGGTGATCGTGCGCGAGTATCCGCGCGCGTTCTGCCGGCTGGTGTGGGTCATCTGCGAGGCGTCCGTGCTCTGGTTCGACCTCGTCACCGTACGTTCGCCACTCCCTGCTCCCATCGCCCTCTCCCACTCACCCCCTCGCGTCCTTTTCGCTTCGCACACACACCACCCCACCTTCCACCACAACACACACTCGCTGCACACACCACACTCGCCCCCTCCTTCCCACCCCTTCCCCCCGTTATCTCCCCATTCTCCTCACTGTTCCACACACCTTCCCCATCCCCCAAGGACTAGGCAACGCGGTGGCGCTACAGCAGCTGCCGGGGATGCCGTTCAAGGCGGCGCTGCTGCTGCTCGCTCATCCCTCCCGTCCCCCATCCTTCCCGTCTCCCCCCGCCCCCCCCCCCTTCCCCATCCCCCAGGTACTAGGCAGCGCGGTGGCGCTACAGCAGCTGCTAGGGGTGCCCTTCAAGGCGGCGCTGCTGCTCGCCGCGGGCTCGGGCGTGTTGCTGCTCCAACTGCCGTTGCCGCAGGTGGGGGGACGGGGACGGGATGGGATGGGCGCTATGAGAGCTATTCTGCCTGCCTCCCTGCCTGCCTGTTTCTGCTTGTGCATTCCAATGTGTGTGTGCCTGTGTGCGTCACTGTCGCTCCGTGCTGCTCCTCTCCTCCTTTTAGTCTCACTCCCGCTTCTCCACTTCCTCTCACACCCTAGCACTCCTCTCGTTCTCCCTTCCACTCCCCTCCTCTCTCCCTGCCCCCTCCCACTCCCCCCCCAGGCGCACCAGGCGGTGTCAGCATGTGTGGCGTGCGCACTCCTCGCGCTGCTCTGCGCGGCCCTGCAATCCCTCCTCGCAGGGCCCGCCTTCCTGCTCTCGTCGCTCTCAGCCGCGCTGCTGCCAGCAGTGCCGCCCGCCTCGCTGCACCTTGTGCTCGCCGCCATCGGCGCGCTCGCCCTGCCCCACCGCTTCCTGCTGCTCTCCGCACTCGTGCTGCAGGTGGGTGGCTTGAGAAACCAATGGTGCCCTCGCACCCTTGTGCCCTCGCACCCTTGTGCCCTCGCACCCTTGTGCCCTCGCACCCTTGTGCTCCACCTGCGTGCCCTCTTTCTCAGCACTCAGCATGTTGAAGCATGAAGGCCCCGCATATGAATCAATCATGTAAGTGCCTTCATCCAAGGGTGCCCTCTCTCTCTCCTCCTTTCCCACCTCCCAGGACGACCCAAATGCGCACGACCTCATGGAACCGCCACCTGGCGCGCCATCCTCCCCTCGTGACGCCTCCGCCTCCGCCTTCCACCCCTCCGCCACCCATCCCCTCGTCCCCGCGTCCCCCTCCTCCGCCTCCCTCTCCCCCTCAGCCTCCCTCCACCCGCTGTCCCCCCAGCAGCAGCAGTACCGCCGCGATTTCATCCGCTCCCAGCTGCTCGCTGCTGCCGCCACGCTCGCGCTGCTCCTAGGGGCCTCCGCCGTGGGGCAGGGCGCAGGGGTGGACGGGGCAGGGGCAGACGGACAGGAAGATGGGGAAGGGTTTGAAGGGGTGGAGGGGGGTGGGGAGCGGCGGGTGGTGCGGCTGTGGGGCGTGTACCGGCTGGTGGAGCAGGTGGTGAACAGCAACGTGGCTCCCACCTTCGCCTCCCTCGCTCTCCTCTCCTCCTTCCACCTCTCCACCCCCACCAACGCCTATGCCGGCCAGCTCTCCGCCTCCACCTTCGCCCACGTGCACCTGCGCCCCTGGCACCGCTTCCTCCTCACCCGCGCCCTCACCCTCCCCCTCCTGCTCCTCCTTTCCCTCATTCTCGATGACGCCGCCACGCTCTCCCTCCTCTCGCACTCGCAGCTCCTCCTAGCCCTCCTGCTCCCCCTAGCAGCCGTCCCCCTGGTGCGCCTGGCGGCGTCCCCCGCGCTCATGGGGCGCCACCGCGTTGGCCCCGCGCTGGAGCTCGTAAGCTGGGTGGCGTGCCTCTCCGCGTGCGCCCTCTCTGTCTGGTTCCTCGGGGACGCACTCTTACGCTTCGCCACAGCAGAGGCCGTCGCAGGGGGCGCGGATGGGGATGATATCGGGGGAATGGGGCTGTGGGAGTGGGTGGTGGCGGGGGAGTTTCTGTCCGCGGGGGGAGGAGAGGAGGACGACGGGGAGGGGCTGGCCGTGGGGCTGTCGCCGTCCGCTGTGTGGCGCAACGTTCGGCAGCTAGTGGCGGTGTTTGGCGGGACGGCGCTGGTGGGCGGCATGCTGGGCGGGCTGCTTTGGCTCATGCTGCTGCCACTGCGGTCGGAGGACGAGCAGCAGCGCCGCCTGCTGCTCTCCCACTCCGCCTCCGCCTCCCTCTCCGCGCCCTCCCCCTCCTCCGCCTCCGCCCCCACCTCTCTCCGCCGCCCCCGCCCCCTGCCACTGGCAGCAGCGCAGGACAGGCGGGGAGGGGAGGCGCGGTGGGGGGCGGAGAGGGAGGGGAGGGCGGGCGCGGGGGGGACATGGGAGCTGCCCCGCCCCTCCGCGTCCCCTGTGTCTGGGCCGCTGCCTGTGTTGCTCCCTGGCGCGGAGAGAGGGGGGGAGAGGGCGGAGGAGAAGGGGGAGGGCGCGGAGGGGGGGTCGTGGAACAGTGCACTGAGGAGGCGCGTGGGGGGGCAGCAGTGGCAGCATGGGGGGGACAGGGGGGAGGTGGGGGAGGGCGTGAGGGGTGTGGTATCAGAGGGGGTGGGTGGGTATGGTAGCAGCAGTGGCAGTGGCGGTGGCGGTATGAGTGGAGTGGGAGTGGGAGTGGGAGTGGGAGTGGGAGGGGGAGGGGGAGGGGGAGGGGGAGTGGGAGGGGAGCGCATGCGAGTGCAGCGAGCAGCGTCCGTGTCGGGGTGTGTGGCGGAGAGGGAGGTGGGCGGAGGAATGGGCGCAGGTGTGGGCGCAGGTGTGGGCGCAGGTGTGGGCGCAGGTGTGGGCGTGCAGGGGGGAAGTGGCAGGGAGGGGGAGAGGGGCAGGCAGGGGGCTGAGAGAGCCAGCATGTTGTCAAGAGCAGGTGGCGAGCAGCAGTGGCAGGCGAGGGAAGGGGGCCCTCAGGCGCTAGCAGGCTCGCCACGTGCAGAGCACCTCGCTGTCTCCTTGTGTGCTGTGGCAGCTGCAGCAACGGCCACAGCAGCAGCAGGCGCAGCCGCAACAGGTGCGGCAGCGGCAGCAGCAGCAGCTGTTGCTGCAGGTGGGAAGGCAGGGGAGGAGAGGAGGGGAGAGGGCGAAAAGGGTGTGGTAGGGGGAGAGGTGGTGGTGGCACCGGGTTTTGAGGCGCCTCAACAAGCGGTGGTGGCACCGGCAGTGGCGGGCGAAGGGCGTGTGGGCGACCCTGTGCTGCTGCCTGCCCCTGCACCGGTTGTACCGTCACCAATTGCCCCCGCCCCCGTTGCAGCTGCACTGGTTGCACCCGCGCCGATTTCATCTGTTGCGAAGGTTCGATCTTCTGTGAACGTTTCATCTGCTGAAGCAGTTTCATCAACTGACATGGTTTCATCTGCTGAAGCAGTTTCATCAACTGACATGGTTTCATCTGCTGAAGCAGTTTCATCAACTGACATGGTTTCATCTGCTGAAGCAGTTTCATCAGCTGACATGGTTTCGTCTGCTGAGAAGGCTTCGTGTGCTGAGAGGGAGGGGGTGATGCGAGGAGAGGGAAGCGCGGAGACAGAGCAGGAGGAGAGCGACGAGGAGGGGAAGAATGGTGGGGAGGGGGGCGGAGGCGAGGGCGAGAAGGAAGGAGAGGTGGTGGTTCCGTTTGACAGAGCGGTGACTCTGGCGGATGGCGTGGCGGGTGTACGCCATGGCACAGGCGGGGGCACTGGGCTGGGCGATAGTGGTGCCGGCGCAGGGGACATTGGGGGGGAAACAGCGGGGCGTGGGGAGACGGGCGAGCGAGGGGAGATGGGCAACGAGCAGACGGGCAGGGAGCGTGGGGAGGCGGCGAGGGGGGAGGGCGTGGTAGGTGCGGCTGAGGTGAGTGCGGGGATGCGCGTGGTAGAGAGGGCAGGTACGGCGACAGGGCGTGCGGGGCAGGGAGGCGAGGGAGGGGAAGGAGCGGAAAAAGTAAAGGGAGAGGAGCGAGGGGAGGGAGGCGGGGAGAGAGAGGAGAGTGGGGACGGTGGAGAAGCAGATAACGAAGCGAGAGAGCAAGGCAATGAGAAGGCTCATGGAGAGGCGGGGAAGAACGGGAGTGTGGAGGCCTTGGGGGCTATTGGGGAAGCCATGGAGGAGGGCGGTAGGGGCATGGAGGGGAAGGGGGAGACGGGAGAGGAGGGGGGGAGGGAGGAGAAAGGCGAGGGGAAATTGGAGGTGGCAGGGGAAGCAGAAGGGCCGGGGGGGAGGGAAGCAGAGAGAAAGGAGGAAGCGGAGGTGGAAGTGGGTGGGGAGCAGCGAGGGGGAGAGAAAGCGGTGGTGGAGGGAGGTGGGGGGGAGGAGGCAGTGACACGAGAGGCCATGGACGTTGGGGAGGCGGAGGGAGCTGCGGGAGCAGAAGAAGAGGGTAGCGCGGGCAGGCTAGAAGGCCGCCCCGATGGGGAAAAGGGTAAGGATGTAGAGGGTGGGGATGAAGGGGAGGAAGGGAAAGGGAAGGAAGGGAAGGGCCAAGAAGGTAGAGAGGACGGGGCAGTGGAGCAGCAAGGAGAAGGCGTGGAAGAGGGGCGAGGGCAGACTAACCTGGATGGGCCGCCAGAGGCGCCGGGTGGGGGGGCGGGAAGGGTGCCCATGGAAGCAGTGGCGCACTCCCAGACGCCCCTGGGCGGAGGGGAAGCGCGGGCTGGGGAAGGGGGGATGGGCGCGGGTGGTGGTGGTGGTGGTGGCGGCAGTGGGATGGGCGAGCAGGCGGAGGGTTCTGTTGTGCCCGTGGGGAAGGGGGAGAGGCGGGGGGAGAGGGAGGCAGCGGAGGAGGGGCTGGAGGGTGAGGGCGCAGGGGAGGCGAAGAGGCACCGGGTGGAGGAAGGCGGTGGGGGAGAGGCGGAGGGCAAGGGGGGCACGGAGGGAAGGGCGGGAGCGGAGGGAGGTGCAGCAGCGGAAGCAGTGGTGGGTGGGGAAGTGGGGGCAGGGGTGGAAGCAGAGGCAGGGGCGGAGGGCGCAGGGGAGATGGAGGTGGAGGAGCAGGAGAAGCGGGTGGTTGCCATGGGAGGGGTTGCAGAGCCGGGAGGAGAGGTGAGGCGGAGTGGAGGTGAGGGGGGTGCGGTTGCTGCTCCCTCTGCTGTTGCAGGAGCCCCACCACCAGTCATGGCAGCATCCATGGCAGTGGCAGCATCAGCAGCAGTAACACAAGCCGCAACAGCAGGAAGAGTGAGAGCAGGTGTGGCGGGTGGGAGGGTGGAGGCAAACAAACCACAGCAGCAGCAGAATCACACCCATCCCCAGCAGCAGCAGCAGCAGCAGCAGCAGCAGCAGCAGCAGCAGCAGCAGTCCCACGTGGCTCGGTCAGCCCTGTCCAAGTCCCCACCTCTCCCCGACTCCACCCTCCTCCTCCCTGCCCCTATGCCCCGCACGCCCTCCCCCCCGTCCGCCCAGGCTGCGCCCTTCACTGGTGCGCGCAGCAGCATAGGCAGCCCCTGCGGGTCTGGATCCCTCTCTGACCTTCTGCACCACTCCCAACCGCGCCAGCACTCCTCACTGCTCGCATCCGCCGCTGCAGCTGCCGCGAGGGGCAGTGACGGCGATGGGCTGAGTGCTCTGCCGTCTGGGGCGGGTGGCATGGGCGGCAGCATGGGCGGCAGCGGCAGCATGGGCGGCAGTGGGAGCGGCAGCCTGTCACGTGTGTCTGGGCTGGGCAGGGGTGCGAGGAGACAGTTTGCAGCCATTCTGGACGAGTTCTGGGGAGGATTGTTTGACCTGCACGGCCAGCCCGTTCCCCTGCCCGCTGCCCGCCCCGCGGGGGGGAGCAGCAAGGCGGGGGGGAAGGGGGGAGGGGATGGGGGGAAGGGGAAGAGAGGCGGGGCGGATGGGAGTGGGGGTGGAGGGGTGGGAGGGATTGGAGTGGGCGCTGGTGCTCGCTCCAGCATGCTTGGGACTGCTGCTACTGCCACTGCTGCCGCTGCCACTGCTGCTGCTGCCACTGCTGCTGCTGCCGCTGCTGTCGGTGCTGCGAGCAGTGCTGGCAGTGGCTATGGTGGTGGTGGGGGTACAGCAGCAGGTGGGAGAGGTGCAGCAGCGGTGGGGGGTGCAGCAGGCAATGCGGGCAACGGAGCACCCCCCTTCCCACCCGCCCTCCCTCCAGAGGATCATCTCTTCTCCCCCGATCCCCTCCCCGACTCCCTCTCTCTCACCGCCTCCCTCACTCTCCCCGACCCCCTCGCCCTCACCGCCCACCGCCGCTCCTCCATTGATGCTTCCTCCCCCCCGCCCCCTCTCCACGACCCCTTCCTCTCCCGCGACCCCTTCTCCACCCGCCCCGCCCTCTCCCGCCCCCCCACCGCAATGTCCCCCCTCCTGTCCGCCTCCTCCGCCGCCCACCCCTCCCCCTCCGCGCGCCAGTACAGCACACTTGCGCATCTCCCCAAGTTCTCCGACCTGCCCCCCCAGCAGCAGCAGTCGCTGCTCACCGCACCCCCCTTCCTCCCCTCGCTCTCCTCCCTCTCCGCCTCCCCCGCCCCTGGCGGCCCTCACAGGGACGTGGAGGGCCCTAGTCGCTCCACCCCCAACCTGTACGCGGATCTGCTCGCGCAGGGCTATGGGGGGGGCGGGGGGAGGGCGGGCGGGGGAGGGGGAGGCGGAATGGGGCTGGGGGGAGGGCGGGGGGCGTTTGGAGCGGTTGGGTCGGTGGCGATGGGTGTGTCTGGGATGTCTGCTGCTGCTGGGCTGCTGGGTGCCGCTGCTGCTGCTCCCTTCACACCTCTGTACCAGCAACAGCAGCAGCACCAGCAGCAGCACCAGCAGCAGCAGCAGCAGCAGCAGCAGCACCCTTCCTCCTCGTTCTTCTCCTCCCAGCCGCACCCACACTCGCAGCAGCAACAGCAGCAGCCGTGGCAGCAGCAGCAGCAGCAGCCGTGGCAGCAGCAGCAGCAGCAGCAGCAGCAGCAGCAGCAGCAGCAGCAGCAGCAGCAGCAGGTATGGCTGCAGCGTGGGAACAGCATGGATGGCATGGGCATGGACATGGGGATGGGCATGGATCAAGGATTGCACAGGGGCATGGGCATGAACATGGGCATGGATATGAATATGGGTATGGACATGGGCATGGGCATGGGCAGGAACGAGCATCTAGACCAATTGGCACAGAGCTATGCGAGCTTCGCTCCCCCGGACGCCATGCGAGGCACCAACCCCCTTTCCCATGCGCACGACCACGATCACCCCCAGGGCCACCCCCAGGGCCACCCCCAGGGCCACCCCCAGGGGCACCCGCACGCCCCCATGCACCACCTGCTGCAGGCCTCCCCCTCCGCTCCCCCCGGCTTCCCCTTCCCGCGCCACCCCTCCCCCCCTGCGCCTGCAGGGGCGCCGTGGGGGGGAGGGGCAGTGGGGGCGGGGAGAGGAGAAGGCGGGTGGATCGGAGACAGCAGCAGTGGCAGTGGCAGTGCGTTTGGAGGGGCCGGTGGTAACCACATGGAGTGGCAGCAGCAGGGGCAGCAGCACCTGCTGCATCAGCAGGGGCAGGGGCAGGGGCAGGGGCAGGGGCAGGGGCAGGGGCAGGGGCAGGGGCAGGGGCAGGGGCAGGGGCAGGGGCAGGGGCAGGGGCAGGGGCAGGGCTTGCATGGCATGGGTGCAGTGAAGCCCATCGGCCCTCCCTCCCGCCGCCACCAGCCCGCACAGGACGTCCAGCACAGCACCAGCACCAGCACCAGCAGCAGCAGCAGCATCACCAGCAGCAGCACCGCTCACTCTTCCCTGTGGGCCAGCAACCCGCGTGACATGCTCTTTGGCACGCACTCCGGCCCCCTCTCCTCCTCCCTCTCCTCCTCCCCCGCCTCCTCCTCCCCTTCCTCCTCCACCCCTCTCGCCGCCTCTCCCTCCACCGCACCCAACCAGTCCCCACCCAAACCATCCCCCTCACCACCCCCGGCGAAACCCCACGTGCAAACCGAGGAAGAGCGGCGGATGGACAGACTGAGAGTGTGCTTGCACCGGTTGCTACGTCTAGACGGCAGTGACTGGCTGTTCCGGTACGACACGGGCAGTGATGAGGACTTGGTTGCTGCTGTGGCCTACCGGGAGAAACGACTTGCAGGGGATGCTGCCGCTGCTGTGGCTGTGGGGCTGGGCGGAGGGGGCGGTGGGGGCAGCGGGAGCGGGAAGTGGGGGGGGATTTTGGAGGGGCAGGCGCAGGGGGGGCAGGGAGGGGGGGGGAAGGAGGGGGAGATGGAGCTGCCGCCGTCAATATGGGGGTGTGGGGCGCAGTGTGTGTGGGGGCCGCTGCTGGTGGTGTCGTTTGGAGTGTGGTGTGTGCATCGCGTGCTGGAGCTGTCTCAGCTGGAGAGCCGCCCAGAGCTATGGGGCAAATACACCTATGTGCTCAACCGCCTGCAGGTGAGATGTGCTGTATGAATGAACCCACACATGCCCAGCACATCACCCCATCCCTCTCTGTCCACATTGCCCACATTACTCCCCTCCCCCCCTCTCCCCGTTCTCCACCTTCCCTCCCTATCCCTCCCCCCCCTCTTCCCCCCGTCCGCCTCTTTCCCTTCCCTCCCCGCTCCCCCCCTCCCCCTCCCCCTGCCCCTGCATCCCCCAGGGTATATTGGATCCGGCATTCTTCCGTCCCCGCACCACGCCGCGCCTCTGCCAGTGCTACGGCGACCGAGCCAACCTCCCAGCCCTCTCCGCGCAGCCGGTGTTCCACGGCGCGCTGCTCTCCGCCATGCTCGGTTCGCAACTCCCTCTCGCCAACCCCTCCTGGCCGCTCGGCGCACCCCCGGGCCAGCCCAAGCCGGCGTCGCCAGCTCTGTTCCTGGAGCGGATCAGGGAGGTGGAGGTGGCGGTGGGGGCGAGAAAAGGACGCACGGGCACGGCTGCGGGGGACGTGGCGTTCCCCAAGGGCAAGGAGAACCTCGCCTCCGTGCTCAAGCGGTATAAGAGGCGGTTGGGAGGCAGGCCGTCGGGGGGACAGGGAGGTGGAGGGGGAGGAGGAGGCGGAGGTGGGGGCGGAGGGGGGGGAGGGGGAAGAAGGTACTGAGGTGTGATGATACATGTCACCAAGATGGTCTTTTTGAGACGTGTAGCAGGATGAATGGTAGTGCAGCGTAGTGGAGCAGGTAAACAATGACTTGCACAGGCTCAAATTGAGTCAGGCACACGCAAGTACAGCAGTAGGTATATACTTGCAGGATTGCTTATGGTAGTTGCTTCTTCGCCTAAGGTTTATATGACACCACATTACAACTTTCACTGGCCTAGCATAGCCACCACATTACAACTTTCACTGGCCTAGCATAGCCACCACATTACAACTTTCACTGGCCTAGCATAGCCACCACATTACAACTTTCACTGGCCTAGCATAGCCACCACATTACAACTTTCACTGGCCTAGCATAGCCACCACATTACAACTTTCACTGGCCTAGCATAGCCACCACATTACAACTTTCACTGGCCTAGCATAGCCACCACATTACAACTTTCACTGGCCTAGCATAGCCACCACATTACAACTTTCACTGGCCTAGCATAGCCACCACATTACAACTTTCACTGGCCTAGCATAGCCACCACATTACAACTTTCACTGGCCTAGCATAGCCACCACATTACAACTTTCACTGGCCTAGCATAGCCACCACATTACAACTTTCACTGGCCTAGCATAGCCACCACATTACAACTTTCACTGGCCTAGCATAGCCACCACATTACAACTTTCACTGGCCTAGCATAGCCACCACATTACAACTTCACTGGCCTAGCATAGCCACCACATTACAACTTTCACTGGCCTAGCATAGCCACCACATTACAACTTTCACTGGCCTAGCATAGCCACCACATTACAACTTTCACTGGCCTAGCATAGCCACCACATTACAACTTCACTGGCCTAGCATAGCCACCACATTACAACTTTCACTGGCCTAGCATAGCCACCACATTACAACTTTCACTGGCCTAGCATAGCCACCACATTACAACTTTCACTGGCCTAGCATAGCCACCACATTACAACTTCACTGGCCTAGCATAGCCACCACATTTGTCTGCTCCCATTCTCACATGCTTGATCGATACAACACCAGGGCAATGTCACTAACACGAGAGGGCTCATAGCCTTGTGTGTATACCGCATGCACTGTATGCATACTGTACAATGTGGTGCAAACAGTATACAATGTTCGCAAACAGCAGAGAGCTGTACAAAGAATCAAGCACCATGGCATGCTAAACCCATGCCATGCCATGCCTGCTGACATGTTCCTTGGACACCCTGAACAGCACCTGTGTGGCCCCAGTAAACAGCCTGTTCAATACGGTTTGGATATGATAAGCAACAGTGGCCTGTACAAGGAATCCAGTGCCATGCATGCTGGCAGGCGTGCCGTGCTAGCGTCGCTTGGGCACCCAGAACACCACATGCAGGATGCTCGTGACAGCCTGCCGCACGCCAGACAGGACAGCAGATGCCACCCAGATCCCTGGCAGCCCCATCCGGTAGACGGCATTGCCGGCGGTCATGGCGTGCGACAACACCTGCATGACAGGGCAAGGACGGGGCAGTGGGGGTTAGAACAAGCCACGTGCAGTGTGCGACACAACCGGCATGAGAGACAAGTACTACATGATGCATTGCACGCAGAAACTCGTGCATTTTCCCCTGAATTTCCTTCTGAAAGGCACGCTCTCTTCACACATGTTAGCGCGAGGGAGAAGAGGCGGCCAGGTGCTCACAGCGGGTAGCAGGGTGAGGCGCGCGGACCAGGCGTAGAGCGCGCCGATGAGGGGCAGCTCCGCCACCAGCGGGTCCACCTCGAAGAAATTGCTCTGCTCCGCGATACGCCACACCACCCGCCTCCCGCCGCCCCCTCCGCTGCCCCTGCTTGCATTGAAGTCGCCCTTTCCCCTGCCCCTGACACTGCCGCTGCCGCTGCCGATACCAATCCCGTCGGTTGCGGCCGTCCCTCCATCCCTAGATGGCGCCGCGGCGACGTCGGTACTGTCGTCCGACGCGACGCGCTCCTCGTGCGGCTCGAGGCGCAGCACGGCGACCATGTGCAGCTGGCGCGTGGTGAGCGGCGCGAGCCACGTCCGCACGCACAGCGTGCCGCGCACCGCCAGGCGATCGGGGCGCGTGACGTCATAGATGACGTCAGCGACAGTGAAGTACCAATAGATTGCCGTGACGCTACGCAGCTGCGCGGATCATATGGGGGAGGATTGGGGGATGGGGGTAATGGAGAGGATGGGGGAATGGGGGAGTGAGGGGAATGGGGGAGTAAGACTTCCATGCATGGGGAGATGGGGGGAAGAATGTAATAACCAGTTCTGTAGTTTATGGTTCGCGCGGCGTCCATTAATCGCACCCAGAGGAGGTTTTCAATTGCAGCGGCGGAGCGGCACGCGAGCAGCGGCTGATTTAGCAGCGCAGAGGGCGCGAAGACGCGGCGGATGGTGGCGGCCTGCAGCGGCAGGTCCGCATTCTGTATGATGCGGTGGATCGCCCCCGCCACCTCCTCCGCCGGTCGCTCCATGCGCTTCCCCCCCGCCTGCGCGCCCCTCTGATTCCCTCTCGACTGACTCGCCGCTTTCTAGAAAGGTGCTTGGGCGGGTAACCGGATCGCGACTCGAACGAAAGCAGTTGCTGGGTGTGCAGGGCAAAGCGGTGGATGGTAAATGAGGACGAGAGATATTGAGAGTGGAGTGGAGAAGCAAGCAAGGAGGGGTGTGGTGTGGTGGAGGATGGATGAGCAGTGCATGGTTCGATTTGCAATGTCGAGACACGAAAACATTTTGCAGTCTTCGTCGCGACGCCAGTCATGCAGCGAATCACAGGAGACCACGTGATGAAAGGAGGAAAACTGGTGCGAGTCAGCAGCAAAAATCTAGGCATTAGTTTAGATAACTGAACAACCTGGGTGTATAAACCTTAGACATTTGTCTTCAGTTTCTGGTACACATTTACATCAACCCCTTCCCATCTGACAAGTCGCTGTTCCAATTGCGCCGCAATCATGTCTCGCCGACCGCGAACTTGTCCGCGGACAGAGCTCTCCTCCGCTAGCGCTTCCCCCTCCGCGAAACCGTTTCCAATTCACGGGGAGCTGCTGGCGGGCGTGCTGGCGCTGCTGGACCCGCTGCTGCTGCTGCGCGCGCGACTCGTATGCGCGGAATGGTGGCACGTCATCAGCTCCTCGCGCCACCTGTGGCAGCGAGTGGTAGAGAGACAAGTGACGCTGGCCGATAGGGCACGTGCTGGGGCAGATATCGCCACGGAGGGAGCTGAAGGGGGGAACGCGGGGCTCGGAAATGCGGAAGTAGGAGGAGGAGGCGCGGGTGACGAGAAGAATAGGTCGGGCGGGGGCGAAAAGGGGGGCGCAGCGCGGAGGGGAACAAAGGAGAGGGGAGGAAAGGCGGAGAGTGGGGGCGCGGGAAGGGAAGCGGGAAGAGGGCAGGATGGCGCGGAGGAGGGGAGCGGGGGGGAGGAGGTGGAGGGGATGGGGAGTGAGGGCGTGCGCGCGGCCGTAGGGATGGCGGTGGGGGCGGAGCAGAGGAGACGGTATGGGCGGGGGGAAGTGAGGGTGTGTGTGATGCGCGGCCACACCAGGGGGAGGTGCGCAGAGGTTGGGGGGCGGTGTGGGTGGAGGTGGGAGGGGGAGGGAGATGGGGGGGGAGAGAGGGGAGGTGAGGATAGGTGAGGGAGGGGAGGCGAGGGGAGGTGAGGAGGATGATCGCAGGGCAGGGGTACAAAAGGGAGGTGGTGAGCATGCGAGGCGGTTGGTGCATGTGATGTGTGCGTCCATCCATCCATCCATCCATCCATCCATCCATCCATCCATCCATCCATCCATCCATCCATCCATCCATCCATCCATCCATCCATCCATCCATCCATCCATCCATCCATCCATCCATCCATCCATCCATCCATCCATCCATCCATCCATCCATCCATCCATCCATCCATCCATCCATCCATCCATCCATCCATCCATCCATCCATCCATCCATCCATCCCTGCATGCATGCTCTTGATTCCTCTCCCATGAAAGGCCCCCCATGAAAGGCCCCCATGAAAGGCCCCCCATGAAAGGCCCCCATGAAAGCCATGTCCCCATGAAGGCCCCCCATGTCCCCTGCCCACTGCCTGCTCACCCCTGTCCCCTCCGCCCCGCCCTGCTCGGCCCTGCTGTGCTCTGTTATGCTGGCCTCTGACATGCACGCTCTGGCCACTGGATCCCCACTTAGGAGGCATGGCTTAGCGTGGCAGCAGCTTGCTTAGCAAAGCGTAGATTGAAGTGATATTTTGCTTGCTTGTAAAAAACCTTGTGAAAAAACGTTGGCGGTCACTGACATGCACGCTCTGGCCACTGACATGCACGCTCTGCTCTGCTCTGCTCTGCTCTGCTCTGCTCTGCTCTGCTCTGCTCTGCTCTGCTCTGCTCTGCTCTGCTCTGCTCTGCTCTGCTCTGCTCTGCTCTGCTCTGCTCTGCTCTGCTCTGCTCTGCTCTGCTCTGCTCTGCTCTGCTCTGCTCTGCTCTGCTCTGCTCTGCTCTGCTCTGCTCTGCTCTGCTCTGCTCTGCTCTGCTCTGCTCTGCTGTGCGCCATGGCAGAGTAGGCAGTGTGGCGATGCGGCATGGCGTGGTGGCCACGGGCGGCTCAGATGATGTAAACCTCCCCATCCCCCTCCTCCACCCCCTACGCACGCGTGTGCACTCCCCCATGCATATACCTGGTGTGTCATGTACGCACACATGCCAAGTGCACTATCACCGTACCGTACCATCTTTTACCATGTCCCACCTGTTTGCAGTCGTTTCTTCTGCTGTTCCTATGACCAGCCTCCCCACGGGCTCCTCCCATTCCCATGTGCTCACTGCTCCCCTCTGTCCCTGTGCGCGTCTTCCTTTGTGCCCTCCTCCTCCTCCTCCTCCTCCTCCTCCTCCTCCTCCTCCTCCTCCTCCTCCTCCTCCTCCTCCTCCTCCTCCTCCTCCCCTGCAGTGTGTGCGCCTGTGGCAGGTTCATGCACTCCCAGCTCTCCCATCCGCGCATGCTTCTGCCTCCTCCTCGCCCTTCTCCCCGCCTGCCTGCTGTCAGACGGCTTGCTTCCCCTCTCCAGCCTCTCAGCCCATCACAGCCGTTGATCTAACAGACGTGATGGTGAGCCGTTGATGAGCCTATTGGCGTGTGAATGGCAGTGCTCCCTGCAGGGCCATGTCACGTGTGTGCTTGCTCTGCCTCTCCTCCGCTTTCCATGTTCCCCTACTTCTTGTCTTCCTCCCTTCACTTCTTGTCTTCCTCCCTTCACTTCTTGTCTTCCTCCCTTCACTTCTTGCCCCTTCTCTCCTCTCTGACTGACCCCCTCCCTCTCGCACCTCCCTCATCTCGCTCACCTCCCCTCCCCACGTTCCCAGCTCCTTGCTGCATCGGGCACGCAGGTCTTTGCATGGAACAAGGAGACCGGGAAGCTGCTCAGAAGCTTCGGCGGCCACCACCAGCGCATTCGCACGATCAGGTGAGCGGATTAAATCAGATCAGATCGGATATGGCCTGGCTGTGAGCGGATCAGATCAGATCTCATCCACTCTCATGCTGTGACCGCTTCCCTGTCCGTTCTGAGTTATCAGTGCAGTTGTCAGTTAAAGTTGTCGCTTTCCTTGCCTCACCTCTCTCACCTCTCTCACCTCTCTCACCTCTCTGCCCACACACACTCATGGACACATGCATGCAGCTATGACGACACGGACCTGCTAGCAGCATGCAGCGACGGCACTGTTCATGTGTACGACATATACAGTGGCATGACCACCCACATCCTCCGTCCACACGCTCGGGCGCGTGGCGGGGCGGCAGCCATGAGCTACAGTTCCACCATGGGGCTGCTGCTGTCGGGCGGCACGGACGGCACGGTTCGTCTTACTGACTGCCGCTCATCGCTGCAACTGCACACCCTGCTCTTCACCGACCCCTCCCCAGGTACCACCTGCTCTTCACCGACCCCTCCCCAGGTACCACCTGCGCTGAATTGCACCGTACCACCTGCGCTGAATTGCACCCTTCCAGGTACCACCTGCGCTGAATCGCACCCTTCCAGGTACCACCTGCGCTGAATTGCACCCTTCCAGGTACCACCTGGCCTGAGTACCACCCTCCTGAGGTCGCGTCTGCATCAAGTACTAACCTTCCTAGGTAGCTCCTGCCTGTATCACCCTCTCCAGGTGCCACCTGCTTCCCCAGGCACCACCTGCCAATCCCCCATTGCAGTCCATAGTCAGTCCTGCAGAGTTCCACGCTTGATTGAGCAGCTTTGGGAATGATATCCACCGCTGTGCACTGTTATAGTGTTACCATATTATGCCATCTCCCCACTCCCCTCCTGCAGTGACTTCGGTGCTTCTCTCAGCGCCCAGCAACCGAGTGATGGCCGCTTCGGCATCGGGCCACCTGCGAGTGTGGGACCTCAGGTGGGTCTTATGGTGTTCTGGAAGTTCTCATATCAGGTCAGCTGGGTGCAAGTTCCTGCAAGTGTCGGATTCTGGGAGGTCAGGTGAGCTGCCCATTGCTTTCTGCACCCGCAACCCACATATTCTTACTGCCACTCTCTCCTCCTCCCCTTCCCACCTCTCCTATTACTCCATCCCTTTTACAATCTCATCTCCCCCCCGCCCTCCTCTCCTCCCTCTGCAGGTCCCCTTCTCACACACTCATGGATACTGCAATCTCGCCCCCCACCAACACCACACTCGCCCTCCCCTCCTCCCCACTCGCGCTCCCACTTGTCATGCTGACAGCTGGCGCCACGGGATTGGTCCAAATCTTGGATGCCGCCTCCCTCACTCCCCTTCGCCGCCTGCGCCGGCCGCCACTAGCCGAGCTGGCACTGGGCGGCGGAGCAGGGGTTGCAGTTGAGGTGGATAGGAGTGGTGGGACAGGAGAAGGGCAGGGATTAATGCGAGGAACAGGGTGGGCCATGAGGGAAGGTGGGGAAGAGAAGGTGCAGAGCCAGGGTGGGCAGAGGGGTAGGGGCAGCATGGAGGAGCATGCTTCGACTGGAGGAAACGGGGCAGCTGCTGGTGTGAGCGGTAGGGGGGTGTTGGGAGGAGTGACAGCTGGAGTAACTGGCATCGCTGCAAGAACATCCACCTTTGTCACATCGCATGTCGATGGAACTGCAACCTTATGGTTTGTTGGTCTGTAGTGCTGTGATGTAACAAATACCGGAAACATTTTCGTCCAGGGTGTAGGGTTTTTTAGTTTCAATAATTACGTGTGCAAGTACTCTGAATCTACTACAGGACAGCTACCCTCAGAACTACTGAACCACAGTAGCTGTACAACTTTCCTCCAGATGTTTTCAAGGTGTTGAGCTTACATGGGCATGGCACATTCTAGCAAAGATTGTCAATGAGTAATTTCTGCTGATGCTTTCACAGTTTCTGTTCCAAATGTTGTGAAAACAGTACATGCACAACGATTGGTGCAGATCGATGTTCAGGATACCAGTAAGTAGCTTCTCAGATTTCAGGCTACGGATGTTGGCATGATTGTCGTCTGGAAGCATAGGTACCTTCTGCACCATCCAGTGTCATGTTGGAAGAAAACATGATACCCCATCTGAAGAGTGCCATTTTGTAAAAAATCAACTGCCAGTATTCAGGTAAACAAGGCATTAAAGTGCATATCAATCAGCCTCCGAAGCTGTTTGATTCTAGCACAAACGGCACGTTTCAAAGTGCATACCCTAATTAGATATTCAAGGCAGCTCACAGCTCGTCGTGACCAGCATCCTGCAACAAATGACAAATAATCCACAATTAGTGCTACAGCCGTGGTGTCAAGGTCAAAGTGTAGCAATGCATGGCAGGCGTGGGGTTCAAGATGAGTGCAGCATAAGAAGACTCACCTCCTTGGCCTCCTCCGCATCCTCCTTGTCCTCAGCGGCCTCCGCAGCCTCAGCATCAGCCTCGGCATCATCCTGAAACCAATGGAGCCAAGATACAACATCCATGAGGCACAAACACAGCTCGACCTAATAGCTACAGAAGACAGGATTCGAACCAAGATGAGTGCAGTATGGTACGAAATTGCTCACCTCATCATCAGCATCATCGTCCCCAGCGTCATCCTCCTTCTCCTCCTCCTCCTTGGACTTCTCGGCCTCGTCATGCATCTTCTTCTCCTCCTGCATCGACCAAATGCGCATGAAGAGTTAGCACATCCTTAGACAGACCTCACTTGGCAACGCCCGAGTTCAGTGTCTACACTTACCGCCTTCATGGCGCCCCAAGTGTCCTCAGCGAACTTGCGAGCATACTCAGCGTCATCAGTGACAAGGATGTTGTCAAAGATGGAGCCTGCCTTGACCTGCGAAAAAGGAGTACATTCACTCATTAGTATGAATGCCTCGTACAGAGGTCTGTCAAAGTCTGCGAAACCTTGTAACAGCCTACGACACACACCTGCCAGATCTCAAAGCCAGCATAGCGCAGAGGTGGTAGACGATAGGCCTCTGGCTTCTCCACGAAGTCTGCAATACCAAATGATGATGTTCTAAGTTATATTCAAAATTCCATACAGATACGAAACCAGTTGAGCTGAACATTCCATTCAAACTTACCAGGGTTGTCAATCATAGGAGGCTTCCACTTGCCCTTGTACGCGGGGTTCTTGATCCTCTGTGGAAGGGTAAGCCAGAGGGGCAAGACATTTGCAACTAGCATACGTAAGCCGCTAAAGCTAAGCGACGACATTTCGGAAATCAAGCAGGCACAATAAAAGCCACTCGAAAACCTCAGCTTCATTTACGGGTAATCGCATTTACGGGTAAGAGCAACACGCGAATCTTACCTTGGGCTTCCATTCGCCCTTGTACTCGGGGTTGGGGATAAGAGGGGCCTCCCATTCACCATCATCCTCATCGTTCCAGTCCTCGGGCTGAAAGCAAAGACATGGCATACAGTATCACGCGAGTTAATCAACCAGGTTCTTTCTTTGAAGTATCTGTCTGTTGGCTCCGCATTTGCGCACATGCTTATATAATTTAGCGACCAGATGCTCACCTTCTTCGCCTCAGGATCCACAATCTCGGCGGCAATGTCATCCCAGCCCTGCATAAACGATGGGTTTAGGAAAACAGGAGTCAGGGAATCATAGATGAGAAACATGGAAGAGAACCAAATGAAAATTCCAGAAAATCCTCGAAATTCCGCGTATCCCTGTTATGAGAAGGCCAAAGTTCTACTTCACGTACATCGGGCTTCTTGTCCTCGGGATCATCCATGTACTCGTCGTCAACCCAGTCCTCGGGCTTCTTGACGGACTTGTCAGGGATCTGGCGAGGCTTCAGGAAATCCCATTCCGCAAAAATGTCACCGCCAGACTTCTCGACGTTGTCGATCAGGATCTTGTAGGTGTTGTTGGGGCTCAGGATGAAAGTGTAGACGTGGGAAAGCGTGTCGGTCTCGCACTCAACGTTCTTCTTAATCAACATGTTCTTGCCCTCGTGGGTGATGATGGCGTGGACCCTCTTGGTTGAGTACCCGCAGATGTCTGGGCCGAACATGATGCTGCATACACGGAAAGAGCGATATGTTGAATGCGATGTCTCGAGCAACGAAAGATAGAAAAAACAAACAAAAAACAGTCAGGATCAAACCTGTAAGGCGTGTCGCCACCGAAGTTCTTCTGGTCGACCTCTCCCTCCAGAAGCTTGATGTAGCCACCACCACAGTCAAGATCCTGCTCATGCTTCACTTGGAACTGAAGAACGAGGTCCTTGTCCTTGTTGTCGAATTCCTCGATCTTGGAGGAAATCGCGAAGAAACGAGCGTCGGGGTGTGTCTGGATACCTGCACAAGAAATTAGTCCGTTGATGCGATTACTTTTTTTTATGTAGGATATTGACACAACAAAAGAAAGAAACTTGCCTTTATCCTCAGGATCCTTGTAGTACTTGCCAGCCGTGTGCTTCCATTCTCCCGCAGCTCCCTCCGACTTCTTCCAGTCGGAAACTACCCACCTCGACTGCCATGTGTCTGCACAATGATAAGAGAATGCGCTCAGATCTCGCCAAGGAACTACGGAAATTGTGTCACAGAGCCAGTTCTAGCGGAAAACGCTCCCCTCAATCACTGTTACACCCACCGTCAAACTTCTCTTCGAAGTAAACCTTAGCTGAGACAGCTAGGCAGAGAGCCAGGAGGCACACAAATCGAAGAGCCTGCGCCATTGTCGCTAAGCTAGGAGATCCCAACCCGTCAATGTAACGAAATGTAATTCAAGTTGTGGACTACATAAGAGGATCTGGTGACTGGCAGGGGGAGCTAGCCGAGGTTCGGTGACTGAGCAGGTGGTTGCTTGGTTGGGTTGGTGGTGCATCTAGAAACTTGTGCCGAAGCCAAACCCAAGGGACGACCACAGCTGGAACTTGTTTTGGCGCCAAAGTCGAGACAGCCACTCAGCGTCGACATTGCTCGCGTGGGCCAATCACGAAAAGCCAACCACGTCAAAATGAGCATCGAGAAGCTGAGTGCTATAACCGTCGATCTAGTCGCTCAGAAATCGAAAGCCGTTGGCTGCAGCTAGACTTGCAAGGTTGTGTCGCATGAACTTCCTTTTCTGCCGCTGACATAGTCAGAATTTCAGAATTGTGTTACACCTTCTAGAGTCGTGGATGAAATATGAATGCACTCATACACAGAAGAAAAACAAGGTGTATTCGTAAGAGAATTCGGCTGTCCGCTACACCCGCAACTTGCTTTCAAGCGGTGAATCTTTAAAGAGGATGAAGCCTTGGACCAGGCTTGAGCAGCAGTTGACGTGGCAACAGCTCCAAGAGTTTCACATTGTGCCAGTCAGACCCAGGGAGGTGGAGGTCACCACAACATTCGCTGCCGCGTGGCGTAGATGCTGGCTTGATCTATGATCCACGGCACTTCTCCAGCAGTCATGCGGAATCTCTTGCTGGCCAGGATCAAGTCTTCAAGCCCCATTCCAGCGTGGCATTCTGTTCCTCAGGCCGTTCCCTAGATCCGACGTGGCAGGCCCACACCACCGAGCCAAACACCCCATTGTCCAACAAAGCCAAAATCATCCAGCACACGCGCTTCGCGTTTGTGGCTGGCAGCTGGAGCTGTGAAAGGGGAACGTGGGAATCCTGCCAGCAGGGAGGGGAGGGAGGGGCAAAAGCATCCCACAGCAGATACAGAAATTCAAATTCACAAGCCAGTTTTTCTTTAACATTAGTTGCTCCGAGCCGTACCCAAACCATACGAGAGGAACTCCCCTAGTTCGTGCTCCTCCAACGACGCCATGGCTGCCATCGCCCACTCCGCGTCGCTCCTCTGCGAGGCGTCCCTCGCCGCCGCGCGCTCGGCCAGCTCGCTGCCGTCCCACTCAGGCCTCAAGGCTGAGCCCCGCGTGGCCGTCCGCAGCCTGCGCGCGCAGCGCGCCAAGACCGCCAAGCCCATGACGGTGCGCGCGAGCGCGGGCACCGCCGTGGAGGGATTCGAAGTTAAGGCGGTGCCGACTTCGCCGATCGAGGGGCAGAAGACGGGGACGAGCGGGCTGCGCAAGAAGGTGAAGGTGTTTCAGGAACCGCACTACCTGGCCAACTGGATCCAGGCGCTCTTCGACTCGCTGCCCGCCGAGGATGTCAAGGGCTCGCTGCTCGTGCTGGGCGGCGATGGCCGTTACTTCAACCGCGAGGCCGCGCAGGAGATCATCAAGATCGCCGCTGGTAACGGCGTCAGGAAGATTCTCGTCGGCAAGTGAGTAGCGAACCTTGTCCTTCATGCCTCGCCCCTAAGGTTTTTTTTTTTTTTTTTGCTCCTTCTGCGCTTGCCACCATCCCGTCCGGCCCCCACCCCGTCCCCCCTGTCCACGCGCCCATGCTGTGTTTCGCTTGAGCCAATTATTTCTTCCTCGCAATACCTGTCTTCCGTGCTCCGCCTCACCTCCCGTCTCTTGTCCCGTTGTCTCCGCGTGTGCACGCATGCAGGGACGGCATCATGTCCACGCCCGCCGTGTCGGCTGTCATCCGCAAGCAGAAGGTGAGGGGAAGCACATTGCATGGCGTGGCATGGATGCATGGGTCTGCAGCATGCATGGCATGGAAGGGCTGCTTACATTTCCTAATCCACATGCCTTTCAAGTGAGCTACCAGTGCGAAATTGGGCTATGAATGCGAGGATGGCGTAC